TCTCCCCTTTGTCTTAGTACAGCGGACAGAACGGGCAAGAGACATGAAACCTTTAATTTTCTTGTAATGAATCGTTACATGATATCAAACCTATTGAATACTTTTACTAACACAGTGTTATGTTGGAAAAATGTCCACAATTAAAACATAGGTCCGCAATGTACCCATAGCACCAAGGCGAAAAAGTTGAGAATTGCGTATACTTCTTATTAATCCTTTGAAGCTGAAATGAGTTAGAGCCTTTGTCTTTAAATAAACAAGCCTGATATTATTTTCTTCTGACTGTAGCCAGTTCCCTGACTCGCAACCCACGGTGCTCTTGTACATGTTCGCAACCGATTACCATGCAGTGTCAGAACAAGAAGTTTGTCTCTATTTAAGGGATCGCAAAGATTTCTCGGATTCATAGAAAAACGTAAAAACTTATTAATTCCTTATTAGAGTAGAAACATAGCTATGAAGTAAATTAATTGTACTCGTCAAACTTCTCCTAAATACCAATAGTGTCCCAATTTCATTAAAGGAATTTAAAACCTCGGTATTAATAGCATATCACTTAGCTCCTTCGAATGGCTGATAGAACCCTCGCACCGCGTGACTATGTTTCTAATCAGGGTAGAAGCAGGTTTGGAGAACAAAAAAAATACAGTCAATCTGGCTGTCTGTAGACTCAATTGCGGGAACAATTGTGGGACACTAGTTCTGCACTAGTTGCGAGTGAAGAAATACCTGTACGATTAAGATCAGTTTTCTTAAAAAGATCAGTACCTAAATAACTAAAAGTGTCATGAGAAAGGCCGTTACAAGTTCTTTACACTTAGCTCTGTATATTTCATTTTCATTAACTGCCTCTATGATTAATTTTAAACAACTGCCTTTATTGCACCACTAGAAAAGTGGCGAGAGGTGACTAAGAAAAACAAATGCTCATAACAGCAACATCCCACTGAAGGCTCCACGCCCACATAAATAACGAACCATTGAAAGTTGCTTTGGAAAAATAGTCCGAGACACAGGTAACCTTCCCCTAAAACGCGAATGGCGGCTAGTCTGCAGCCTTGCAGAGCTAAACGCTTTGGCAACTAAACCACAGAAAAAGAACGTATATCATGTTGAGTTCACTAAAATCGAGACAATTTTGTTTAATGACCGGGAGAAGATTTCTTTTGAATCATCTGACGCGATAGCTTATATGCAAGTAAGAGTATGATCTATACAGGGTTAAAAAAATAATAATAACGTGCGGCGCCTCAGTCGAAACAATAGACTGACATTTTCAGCATACTCTGTAATTGATCTTTGACACGTTAAAACAATTCATCAGTGCAAAAGAGGAAAAATGGTTAATGTTAAGAAATGAAGTTCTTCTAACTGAATCCTCGTTATTAGACTGGAACTTGCTTGCAGTTGAGGCTCATGCATTAAAACAGGATAAATGCTATTTGCATTTGAAAGGACTTCTCGCATTAGCCTCAGTTGCAAGCTACTAGGTCAAGTCCAAGACCGAGAATACGAACATGATCTATTGTAGGAAATTTAGGCATGATTTCTAGTCGTGTTCAAATTTGGATTCAGTGAGTTTCTTTTAGGAGCAAAAGAGGCCGTCTTTTGCTCCTAGAAGAAACTCACTGAGTCCAAATTTTAGTTGGGGCGAAAGATTCCTAAGTGTAGAAAATCCCTGTCTATTAGTGGATTCAATATACCGTAATTCAAAGTCCTAAGATTTAAAAAGTTTTGTTCGAACACTGATTGCCCATTTTGACCGAAGTTTCTTCATAGATCTCGTTCTGCAAATAGAAGCTCCTTAATGGTGAATGATTAAGGTACCTTAAAATATTTAATAATGCTTTTTTACACAGGCACACGCAGAGCGACATAAAATTAGTAGATGCACTTCTGAACTGTTTTCAGTATAATTTTCGGTTACTTTCCTTGTGCAAAGTTTTATATCTTGAAAAATTGTTTTATTCCGAGAACGATTAATTTATTCCGGCAGAATTTTGATCAAATAATTCCAAACCAATTTTATTTTTACAAATATTTGTTACATGCTCACTGTCACAATTTTTCAGTGTTTCACAGCTCAAACAATAGTTTGTCAATTCAATGGCAAACATTTCAACTGAACAGTAGTTGCGGCATATAATAGTTAATATGTTGAAAAAGGGAAAATCACTATTCTTTATAAGCTTGCTGACAAAATTTTTCATTGTTTTACAGCTCAGGAAATTGTTTTCCAAATCAGCGCGGTGGCAAATATTTCAACTGAACAGTAGTTGTGGCACATCGTTAACTGACTTGCCGATTTTACAATGTCGCTGAAAGCGAACCAAGTTATAATATTGTGCAGTACAAATCCAGCAAATTAAGTATGAAGAAAAAAGGGGTGACAGTGTTTTCGTTTAGCGTTAGATTATGGCGTTATAATGACACGAAAATAATTTGGTACACGTCACGTTTCTTAAATTAGAAACAAATTGAATTCTTATTAAAATCTAGCTGGCTTTATGTTATAACTACAACAACCTTTTAGTTATGGTGATCAGGGTTAGGAACCTGGAGAAAGTGCGAGATTGTACTTGAAATTAATTCCTGTACGATTATTAGATGAACCACGAAAACTTAGAAGTTTTCGAAAAGAGAAAAAGAGCAAGAGAAACGAAAGAAAAGTAATACCTTTGTGTATATTTGTAAACCTATCAGCTTTTTCTTACTGGTTTGTTCTTTTCCATTTACATCCATGACAACTTTTGCATTTTCGTAAATCAATAATTAAAGAGTTTAGGAGATTTTTCATCAATTCGTGGGAATATGAGGTCTGCCTATAATCAAATCCGATTTGATCAGTTTCAACCAGTGACAAAGAAACTCACCCGGCAGGTGGCTACAAACTCGATCAAAGACTAAAGGATAAAAAAATTACTTCGAAACCACTTTATCAAGACCACGCTGCAAAATTCATTTTGCTCCAACTATATACTCACTGCTGCTGAGCCTTTGAGAAGAACGTCTCTTACCTTTTAGTAGTTTCACTTTCGTTTGTCAGTGTTTATTACATCGACGTCAACAAAGTGGCCAATTTCCGTCGATGCGAATTCTTCCTACATCAGCTTTCAAACAGCGAAATCTTGGTTGGATTAAGAGTTCTTTTTTCCTTTCGCTCCCAGGAAAATCAATTTATGTTTTACTACTCCGACCTCGCGTTGTTTTAAAATTTATACTCTTTCATGTCATCATCAAAAGTGTTTGCAGCGATTAGACTGAAATCAAACCATCTACTTGAATCAAAGATCGACATTAATCGCTACTCCAGAGCAAGCATCCAGAGGCAAGTATCATGAAACATATTACCAGTGCTACAGTTTAAAATTTTGTCGTCTATCGTAAACAGTAATGTATGCTTTGATATTGGAGGTTTTTAACACTCACACGCAGGTGTGAAGAGTAAGTCGCGTCACTTAAGACTTACCCTTTAGCCTCCATACAACACACACCTAATTTGAATACGCTTTCATGTTTTGGAGGAAGAATGAAGTTTAGGTTACCATTTCTGTGCCCGCGAAATAATACATGCCATTATGATTATTATTATAGTTTTTTTTTTTTAAATTGATATGATATATTTCATTCCTCTCAATCTTCCCTTCTTTTAATAGCTGATAATTCAGTTCAGTTCTGCTGTTGCCATTACGCACTGTTCATCATTCACTTCATAACTGATGCTTGATTCATGTACTGTTTCACTCCTTTTATTCCGTCACCTTCAAGATAAATCCATCCGTATCTACTGACTTATAGCATGGTCAGGCGCTACGAGACCGCGATAACATATTGGTCAAGAGTAAGTTCGTCGGAGAATTGGATCATAAATCAAGCTACCGACTTTTTTAATTGTCAACCAATGAGATTTCGAGGAATTACATGCCAGCTTGTTTATAGGACAAGGATCTGATTTTTCGCTAATCAGTTGAGGTTTTGACTCGATTTCAAGGTGATGCGATAATGTTTTTCGCATAATTAGCCCTTATTTTTTTCCATCTGGCTATCGGTCAACTAAAATTGACGTTTTTGAGGTTTCAGTGCATTAGAATACTGGATGGGCTGATGGAAAGTAAGCTCATCCTTATTAAAGTACTAAGTACCACTCCAATGTTGTGAAAACCTGTGGATATCTTTCATGATCTTTCTTCAGCTGAGTGGGTTACCCAAGTACAATGCAACTTCGATACATACATTCTTCACGTATGCCTGCCGATAGTTTTTCAGTAACTTCGTTTATACAAACTGATCACGTGGTAAANTACATCAGCTTTCAAACAGCGAAATCTTGGTTGGATTAAGAGTCCTTTTTTCCTGTCGCTCCCAGGAAAATCAATTTATGTTTTACTACTCCGACCTCGCGTTGTTTTAAAATTTATACTTTTTCATGTCATCATCAAAAGTGTTTGCAGCGATTAGACTGAAATCAAACCATCTACTTGAATCAAAGATCGACATTATTCGCTACTCCAGAGCAAGCATCCAAAGGCAAGTATCATGAAACATATTACCAGTGCTACAGTTTAAAATTCTGTCGTCTATCGTAAACAGTAATGCATGCTTTGATACTGGAGGTTTTAACACTCACACGCAGGTGTGAAGAGTATAGCCGCGTTACTTAAGACTTACCCTTTAGCCTCCATACAACATACACCTAATTTGAATACGCTTTCATGTTTTGGAGGAAGAATGAAGTTCAGGTTACCATTTCTGTGCCGGCGAAATAATACATGCCATTATGATTATTATTATAGTTTCTTTTTTTTTTAAATTGATATGATATATTTCATTCCTCTCAATCTTCCCTTCTTTTAATAGTTGATAATTCAGTTCAGTTCTGCTGTTGCCATTACGCACTGTTCATCATTCACTTCATAACTGATGCTTGATTCATGTACTGTTTCACTCCTTTTATTCCGTCACCTTCAAGATAAATCCATCCGTATCTACTGACTTATAGCATGGTCAGGCGCTACGAGACCGCGATAACATATTGGTCAAGAGTAAGTTCGTCGGAGAATTGGATCATAAATCAAGCTACCGACTTTTTTAATTGTCAACCAATGAGATTTCGAGGAATTACATGCCAGCTTGTTTATAGGACAAGGATCTGATTTTTCGCTAATCAGTTGAGGTTTTGACTCGATTTCAAGGTGATGCGATAATGTTTTTCGCATAATTAGCCCTTATTTTTTTCCATCTGGCTATCGGTCAACTAAAATTGACGTTTTTGAGGTTTCAGTGCATTAGAATACTGGATGGGCTGATGGAAAGTAAGCTCATCCTTATTAAAGTACTAAGTACCACTCCAATGTTGTGAAAACCTGTGGATATCTTTCATGATCTTTCTTCAGCTGAGTGGGTTACCCAAGTACAATGCAACTTCGATACATACATTCTTCACGTATGCCTGCCGATAGTTTTTCAGTAACTTCGTTTATACAAACTGATCACGTGGTAAAGTTCTAAAGGAAAGTTATCGCGCAATAATTCCCAGTGATTTGCCAGTGATAAACGCGTGCGTAGCGTTTTCTATTCAAGTGCTTCGGAAAAATGAAATTCATCAAAAACTTTATCCATGAGATGAATGAGAACTATACTAAAAGCTCCATGTTCATGGTCAAAGTTTCCTATTACTCGCAGCTGACCTTTTCAAACAGAGATTTTGTTGCAACATGACTGCAGACTGAATAAAATTCTCAGTAAAGAGCTACAGCAACAGTACAAACGGACTTCTGGAATACTGTTCCACCGTCGATAAAACCCAAGGCTAAAACTAGTTGGGCTCATAATTTCATCACTGCCCTCGAGACTTGTTTCACGGGCAATTATGTTGAATCACTTTTTGGGCTATTTTGAGCCTGTGTCATATTCTGTTTATTACTTGATAAGTAAAAGCATCTGTTAAGACTATGAACTTGATAATAATGATTGATTTTCCAGGAGCCAAGAAGAATGAATATGTTGTCATTTAGAAGTTTGGTTCTCGCTGTACTCCTTTCTTTTAAAGGTAAGGTCAATATAAAGCAGAACTTTTTGCCCAGTTTGTATATCAAACCGCTGATAACTGCAATAAAAGCTATTTCAAAACTGTTAATTATACTGAAATGTGGACCATTTTCGTCACGGAACACTTTTCTGTTTTACATGTTCAAACTCAAAAGAAATGTACTTTTCTTTAAACGGTATCTGAAATGTACGGCACCTTGCTTGTGCATGCTTCTCAAGAACCTAAAAACCCTTATTTAAGAAGCTACTGACGCACAATACGATAAATTTGTCAGCCTTTGGTATAATTATCCCACTCATCTTTACTTGCCAATTGCCGCTACCGTTGCTTGTTATTTTGTCTTCATTTGCAGCGAGCCTACCATAGAATCTTGTTTGTGTTTAGAAAAATGTTGCCAGTCACTGTTTGTAATTTATTTCTCAGTTGTAAGAATAGTAGCAAAGAACCTTACAGATGAAGAGCGACTGATCAAAGATCTGTTTGCAAACTACACAAAGTCCGCAAGACCAGTGGTGAACCCCACAGACAAAATTGAAGTTATATTTGGATTTGAACTTGTCCAGTTGGTAAATGTGGTAAGTAAGACTCTCCAAAAACCATGAGGTGATCGATGTGACTTAAATGTGGGTTTAGTAAGTTCAAATAGAAAGGTCTCCAATGATAATAACCCAAATAACAAATAACCCAACATGCAAATGTCCAAACCTATACTTCAGAAGGAGCTACAGTCGAATCCCTATTAATTAAGCGGCCACCAATTAAACGGCCATCCCCTATTAGGCAGCCAGTAATCAAAGTCCCGATGAGGGCTTTCCTATTGTTGTTACCTCTATTCAGTGCCCAGCCCCCTTTAAGCGGCCACTATCCATTTCGCCGAGGGTGGCCGCTGATTTTTCTTTATAAGGCCATTTGAAAGAATACATGCATACCCAATCACCAAATTATCCCAATAACTACCAAGAGAACTCTGTGCATACAGTATACGTAAGTAAAGATAATTTGCAACTTTAAACTGCCATTTTGACAGTTTCACTGCATGTTTTATTTGTTAATTTTAAATTTCGACTGTTTTCTTTGGACTGTTTCAGGATGACCGAAATCAAATGATCACTACCAATGTTTGGGTTCGCCAGGTAAGTCATTGATAATGTTAGTCTTAAAAGGGGCACCTTCGGGAACAAAAACATATTTCAATTCACCAATGGAAAACTCAAGCAAATTTCTAGGTTTGTTAAAAATTACTATCCTAGAGCACTGAAGCTCTAAATTAGGAGTTACGCTAGTCATGTAAGATTTTTTGATTTGAACCTCAATTTGAACAAGTTTGAAAGACTTTTATGGACTTCGTGTTCTGCTTTTGTCTTAGGAAAGTCACCGAAAAATTTACTGGAATTTCCCTCTCCCTTTAAAGGTCAATCAATCTTTTTCATAGAGGGCTAAACAAGTAATAGTTATAGAACTAATAAACTTGTGGCCCTCTAAAATATACAATAATTAAAAATCTATTAAAACCTATGTAAAATTATTTAAAACCTACCGGTAAATAAAAGTCGAAAATGTATCTAAGATTAACTAAAACGTAAATTTCATCTTAGTGTTCTAAGCTCATTTCGTGTACGAGCAAAGGTACCTAGTCCTAATGATTTTGTTTTGCACCATTACAATCAATATGTACAAAATAACCCTCTTAGAGCCCCTTTTAGTTTGATATATCAAATGGAAAATACTAATACTTATTTTATTTTGACTGCTAAAAGTATAAATGAGAGAGGTTTGTGTGTTCACTAGAGTCTGAAGACGGTTCCAACACTGTCCACAATTCTGACCAGAAGGGCGCAATCCACCATTGTAAATACACATACAAAACGAACGTTCATACTGTATGTCACGATCAATAATGTTCCGAATTTGTAACCTAATGACCCTGACGGCTATCTTCCGCAGATTTGGGATAATAAGTTACTAACATGGGACCCGGATAAATACAGCGGCATTGAGACGGTCAGACTCGATGCATCCCTGGTCTGGATCCCGGATATTGTACTCTATAACAGGTCAGTACTGAATCCTGCGAGCGCTGGACGAATCGGTTTTTGGTTGGGCAAGGTTCTTTACTCTCCCATTACACGCAGACTTGCACGAAGACTCGCTGTGATACAGGCCATAAGCGACTCGGAAATGTGGACTAGCATCCTAATCATAAGAAAATAAGTTACAATATTTTCACAGGAAGCCACATCAGCCTTGGCTGGTTTTCATACGAGTGCTCTATCCTGGTCGAATTGGAATTCGGAAATGTTGGTTTTTCAGAAGAGAGTAAAACCGGAGCACCCTGAGAAAAACCCTCGGTGCAAGGCGAGAACCAACACCAAACTCAACCCACATATGACACCGGGCCGGAATCGAACCCGGGCCATAGTTTTGGGAAGCGAGAATTACTTTTAGCCACTCAATGCTATAGAAACCAGCCTATTGAACAAGTGAGGTCATTTAACGAATAGCCATAATTTAGGGCTAAAAATGAAGTACTTGTGAAGGGGATTACTGGGAAACAGGAATGGCAGATTCGAGCACTTGCTCAGCATTGGTATCAACAGTGGGTTCATGAAAGACCGATAGTATTTATTTTATGCGGATAATGTCTGTTTGTTACCTTACCTGTCTATTTTTTTAAAAAAAAAAAAACCTAACACTTCATTCTAAATTTCAATTTTATCGCCATTTCATTAGCAGTAATGCTACTCAGTAAATTCGAGGGTAAATAAAGTTGTTGTTGTTGTTGATGATGATGATGATGATGATGATGATGATGATGGAGACGCCCTGAGTTGAAATTACGTTTTCCACCTAGAAAACGGCCCATCATTCTTAATGTTTTTATTGCCACTTGCAGCGCCGATAGTGAATTTAGTGGTGGTACTGATAAGTACAAGACTCCTGTGATTTTGTCGAGCTCCGGGAGATGTAGTTGGTTTTGCCCGGCGTCCTTTACCAGCACTTGCCCGATAGATGTGCAGTATTTTCCATTTGATCGACAGAAATGTATTCTGAAGTTTGGCTCGTGGACATACGAGGTAAATAGCCGCCTTAATACGCCATTTCCGAGGTGTCTTTCGTCTCTGTGTCAAGACGAGTCTTCGTGCTAAACCATTCATATGGAACTGTGTTCCACCTACAGGTTTAAGGTTTTGCACGAGGACTTGGTTTGAAACAGAGGCACAAGGTAACTCGGAAATGGCCAATTACAATCAAGATAAAGATAATATATTACTGCAATAATAATATGCATTTCAAAGGTTTATCGCAAGAGTGACCTCTACACCTAACAGGATATGCTCTTGCTCCTACAAGTGCCGTGGGTACTGAGGTATTTTAATGACGGGAAGGTGCGGATGAGGCGAAATCGTTAGACCCTGCGCACCATCTTTGGAAAATATTTATCCGGCTCTGTCAACACAACGGGATAGCTTTCGTACAACGAAAATAAACTAGATTTCAACTACGCTGAATAAAGAGGTTGAAACTAGGCGCAAGGATGTGCAATGGCCCAGAGAGTAAGTCAAAAGTCCTCTTTTTGTCTGCAAAACCTTCATACAAAACTAAAATTCCAGGTTTTTCGTCCAGTTTTCCTTTTTTGTCGAGCAACGATCACAAACTTAAACTTTAGGCAAACTGAAAAGTGGGGAGTGTTCCAAAACTCTTGAGAACACTGGATTATTATTTTTGTCTTTCCAAAAATCTTTCAGCCATAAAATAAGTCTGCACAATAAGTTCTTAACAAAATTTTGTCCGTTACAGGTAACAGACCTCGACATGAGAGAAGAAAACGGCTCCTCCAAATCCCAATACATAGAAAGTGCAGAGTGGAATCTTAATGATGTCAAGAAACAAAGAAACGCCAAAAAGTATACATGCTGCGAAAACAAGTTAGCTGATATCAGTATAACTATTGTGATGGATAGAAAACCTCTCTTCTATCTCTTCAACCTTGTTATCCCTTGCCTAATAATCCTGTCTATGATCCTCTTGGGTTTCTTCCTACCCCCAGAGTCGGGTGAGAGGATCACGCTCAGTATAACTGTCCTTTTAGCTATGGCTGTGTTCCTTCAGCTGGTTGGAGAGAGCCTGCCTCGGAACTCCGAGAAGGTTCCTTTACTAGGCAAGTTCTACATCACCATCATGGCGGAAATTTCCATCTCGCTGATGCTTACCTGCTGGGTTCTGAACATTCACTATCATGGATCCGGAAATTCGGCCAAGGCAGTTCCGCTCTGGGCCCGCATCGTTGTGCTACAATGGCTGGGGTATTTGCTCTGTGTTGGAAAGCCCGACGGCAGCTCCCCTGAAATACCCAATACTGATCTCAGATACCACCAGGACGACGGCAGGAGGAAAGGAGCACCGTTTGCACTCGACTGGGAAACTACCTTTGCGCCAGCCGCTAACTGTCACTGTACGAGGTGTATAAACGCAAGAGGTGCTCTGCACTTCAATGGAGAAAGAAGCCCGGACGAATCCAGACTGATAGAGGTGCGATACACCGGAGAATCGTCTCCAATTGATTTTCCCGCCGAGCCACGGCGAGAAAAAGCGAAGGATCCTAAACTTTCCGAGGAAATAAGCGTGCTTGCAAATAGCATTCGGGAGCGTGAGAAGGTTGAGAAAAATCAAGAAGACTGGAAATACTTCGCCATGGTAATGGACCGGTTCTTCTTCTGGTTTTACTCCATGACCATCGTTATCTCGACGTTGACCATCTTCCTAAGCCGAACCCATGAAACATGAAACATGACAAAACATGAAAGCAATGGAGACCATGGCCTGTTTTAGTTAGGAACATATTTCCCTTTATCAGGCAATCTACGGCAGATATTAAACCTCCTGTGGAAACGTTGGATTGTGTGAAGTATGGAATTTGTACTCCATAAAAACTGACGACTTTTATCCGACACAGTTTCACGTGTAAGTTACTCGCGGCAGGTATAAATGGTTTTGTCTAAACAACCCTTAACTTTGCATCGACAAACGTATTTGAAATTTAACCATTTTAGGGCAGAAGGTATGCTTGGAAGTTTCGTATAATTCTTACAAGTAATTATTTCAAACATTCCTGAATTGCGCCTTGCCGCAAAAGGGGTTTAAAAGTACTATACAAGTCAGTTTATAAGCACACTGGTATACTTAATTCACTGCAGCCCGGCGTTATTTGTGACAAAGATACATAATGAAGGTAGCGAACGGGTTAAAAACTCTCAGATACAAATCTATAAATGTAGGGTTTCTTTTCTTCCCCTGGGGCGACAGTTGAGAACATCTATAGATTTGATTTGATGCCAAAACATTCTTTGTGTCAGATGAGTTTCAACTTTTTCATAAGCAGTAGTGCCTGCTAGATCGGCAATTTTTGGTTGGGGGAAAAAGCGTCTACATTTGCATTCTATATAGCTACACATATAAGTATATTATAACATTTTATTGGCTTATATAATTAGGGCGGCCCATTTGTTATATTTAAACGTTACATGAAATGGGATGGGGCACTGGGTATGGCTTTCAGGTAAAACCCCAAAAATGTTTAAGAGAAAGTAGGTACTTAAGCTAGTAAGTTAAATGCTCCACCAGGTTAAGTCCGTTAAATGATCAGTGCGAACTAGAGCAGCGGGGTGGGGGGACTCAAGTCTGTCCAGCAGAGTCTTGTGTTACATTCTCGTTAAAGGCAGCTACGTTCGCAGTTTCTCTGCCTATCCACGATTATGAATTGTTGAGCAAACTGATATAACGCTGGGTGGGTAACCTGCAATGAATACTCATCCAGGGAGTAGCAATAATCTCAGTGGCCTCTCGTCACCGAAACTGAATTCACTGAGAGTTTGCAGTGTAACTCACATCTTCGCATCACATACTTAACTAACCTTATTCGAAGTTTTAAGACGTTTAATTGTTGCAAGAGACCGCTATTTCGGAAAAGGTTGTCCGAAGGAAGCGAAAATATCGCCCGCAATAATGCCGAAAGGTCATCTAAGTTATGATAAATAAATTGTAAACCTCTTTAAATAACTGCCCGGTACATGCGATGGGTCGATGCTACAGTAAATGCCTGCGTGAAGAGAAATGTGGATAAAGGAGACTTTAGGATGCATTGCTGATGAAACCATTTGAACGCACGATCAAAGAACAGTGAACAACCAATATTACCTAAACTCATACTACTTTTCGGCATTGCTGCGTACGCTTCTAATAAAACAACCTTTCTCCAAGCAACTGTTTATGAAATTGTGGATAGTTATCTGTACTCTAAGTGTAAAGGCCATCGCGCGCGGTAACCGTCCCGCGATAAAGGCTCTAATGGTAATGGGCTCCTGGCTCTAATTCTTACATCGCTGGATCACGACGCCGTCTCCTTGACCCCACCGCGATTTTGCCACATTCCACTGCCCCTCCCCCCCTTTTGAGTGCCTCCTGAGGGGCATCTCTTCCGCTCCATTGATTTGAACATTACTGATCTCAAGAATGAATATAGTACTTAAAGGAGCTACGACACGGTTTGCGCATCTTGAAAAGTTTAGCCTAGATTTTTCAAGTTCGTCATTTTTAATCCGTTTTAATCTTCTTCATCCTTAACCATCCTTGTTCATTTAAGCTTCATTATCTCTTTGGTGTTTTTCTATCTTAGTAAACTACTATTTTCGGGTTTCCTTCAATTTAAAGGTAATTTTGTGCTCTTTAATTGAACGTGTGCGAGTGGTCCTTGAAAACAAAACTCAGTCCGCGTCAATTCTAATCTTCGAACTTTGGTCAACTAATTCGCTCATGCCTTACGCTGTCATTTCATTGTCAATAATTTTACTTGTGTATTAAAAATGTATTGTTTAAGCTGATCTATTGATAGCCCTTCAAACATGGACCCCAGAAACTCTCACTAGTATATTCTCGTTATAGCTATTTGATTCGTGACTTATATCATGGACAAAAGTCCCTGGGACACTGATATAGTGCAACGAAATATCTGTGTTGTACAACTGAAGTTTGAAGAAGCAGTGCTATCCCTTCAAAATGCGTTGCTGTTGCCCCTTCCTCACCCAATACAATGTTGAAACTCAGGAGAAATTGCAGGTACATGTTCTAGTTTTTAACATTGTATGTGGGGTGGGAGAATAGGCCAGGCAGGTGAAGTTTTATTCGCGTCTAGGGTGTGCACCAAAAGTGCAAATTTGTCCAAAGACTTTTGTCCATGTTCAGTAATTTTGATTATAAATTGTTAATGATGTTGAATTATGAATAAGTTTCCATTAGTGAGCATATATGCAATACACATACGAAAATTAATGATTACGTTTGAAGATGTAAAACTCTAGAGAAAATAAAGGTGGTTAAATTACACAGTGGTAAGTTATTAGTTTGTTAGTTCAGTGATAAGACAAATCAATGTCAGGTTTTGGCATGCAGACCTCCACCTGGACCACAACTAAATGGAAGCAATAATTCGGTGGGGAACATGGTCAATTTTCAGTTACAGCTATGAGGTTTCACTTTTAACATAACGATAGAATGGACCAGGCGAAGCGCGGTGGCCTCATGATTAGTGCGTTGGCCTCTAGATCGAGCGGTACGGGTTCGACATTGTGTTGCGTTCTTGGCCAATGCACTTAACTCTCATAGTGCCTCTTTCCACCCACGTGTATAAATGAGTACCGGCGAATTAAATGCTGGGGTAGACTAGTATCCCCCCCAGCGGGGAGCAGAAATACTCCCAGTCGCTTCCTGCTACAGAAACCGGGGACAAGCGCCGGCCTGATAGGTTACTTGGCTCGTATGCAGACTATACTTTTTTGCTATGGCTACGATTCGGTAAATAAATAAATAAATAAATAAATAAATAAATAAATGAATAAATAGTATTTTTATATCGCCTATCCAAGCGTGATCTAGGCGCTTTACAAGTTATAAAATATGATTAAAATATAATAATATTAAAAAATAAAATAAAACAAGAATCAATAAAATTATTCCAAAAAGACTTCCTTAAATAAATGAGTTTAAAGCCGAGTTTTTAAAATATGAAGATTGTCTGATTTTCTGATATATATTGGTATTGGACAGCAAAAGCGCTAGGTCCATATTAAGACTTCCAGTTATAGCTGGCACAGTTAAGACGGAGGGATGTAGATGAACGGAGAGTTCTTGAAGGACGGTAGAGGCTTATCAATTCTTGTAAATACCAAGGAGACAAATTATGTAAAGCATTAAAAGTAAGGATTAAGATCTTAAACTATATACGTTAAGTTATTGGTAGCCAGTGTAGGTCCTTTAAAATGGGAGTAATATGGTTATATTTGGAGGAAAGTGTTATTAAACTGGGCAGCAGCGTTCTGTACATGTTGTAGTTTTTTGACAGCATATTTTGGAAGATTGTAGACCAGGGAGTTGCAATGGTCGAGTTTTGATGTGATAAAGGCATGTACAAGAGTGGCAGTTTGGTAACAACAATGCTTATGTCAAACGGCTGGAATGATGGCTCAGACACGTCCATGAACACAGGCCTGTTCTCAACTTTTGAGCATAGGCTCCATAGTCTTCTTTCGATATATTAAAATTCAGCTTCATAGCAAGGCTTACGGACACAAACAAGACAAATGAACAAAACATGTTCAGTCAATTTCCTTTGTTTGTGTCCTCTAGGCCTCGCTGTCAAGCTGAATTTTAATATATATCGAAAACAGTCTATTGAGGCCAAAGTCTGACAGCTGAGTAATCTTTAGTAATTTCGTAGCAATTCACCCTGATAGCTGCTGTCAATAAGGCGGACCAAATGTCACAATTCTTGATGGAAAATTCAGATTGAGAATAGGTGTTATCAGCTGTATATCATTAGATAAAAATTTAGTCTGGAATTCATGTTAAATTTATCGCCAGAAAACTAGTACACTTTAAAGCCTCTGCAAACTGCACCCATTTTGTTTGCGAGATTTTAGCACCACAAAGACTGAAAGGATACAAATATACATTTGGAGTCAGGTGTTTGCGATTAATCTGTGTACATTTTTTTCTTCCGAGAAATAAGCAACTTTACAAGAAATTTGAAGAAACCAGTGGACAAGCCTGACTATGTGGACAGGCCCCCGTGAAGTTAGTGTGTGGCCCAAACAATACCTCAGTACATGTTGCCTCATGCTAGCAAGTTATTCCCTACACTGAAATTTAAACAAGTACAGTCTTGGTGTACCAGCCGGGTTGTGTTGTAACGGTATCATATTATTTTCTCTAATTGGGAACTTTAACAATTGCGTGAAATAAAGAAAGTTTCTCACACAGCGCTTAAAAATAATTGGAAATAAGCAAATACAATTGGATAATATTACTGTATAATCGATTTTGAATTGATCTCCTCAGGCTTGTAAGTTACATACACCTGGGTGAAACGTCTTGCACAGATTGGAGGAACACCGTTTCTTTCTTCAAAGATGGAAAACGTTTATTTTCGTGTTAAATTATTCAACATGTACGATTCTAAGCCCCGTATATGGACACATCAAGGTTAGTTTTAATCCTGCGGGACAACGTAGTATTACGTTTGGACAAATGCATAATTTAAGTTCAAATCTAAAAGTAATATGGACGTGTAGCTAGACAAAACTGGTCTTCAATAATTCCTTCGTTAAAAAGGGAGTGCTTTGCTAACGCACCTACCCTCAAGAACTCATGAAACAGTCCTGCGCTGTATCTTATCTATAAAAGCACCTGTCATTGTTTTAAGCGGGGCCAGCATTAATATGTAGGATACGACTGAAGAGCTGAAGGCTAATGATTTATGAATATTTTTTTGGGAAAAAAGAAAAGCTTTAGTCCCAAGAATATTGGAAAAAGTTGCCAAAATATTGAAAACAATTCTAATACGTAATACCACCATAACGTGTGCGTTAATTCCTTGATTTAAACAGAGGCTATGTTAATCAATGCGTATCGATTTGGAAAACTAATAGTTCCAATTTTTGCAAGTGATAAACATCAAACACCCCTGAGGTTTATGTCAAAACATTGCGGTTGTAGAAACACTTTTAATTTTGTTCAGGAGCCAAGAAATAATTTAAGTAGTTTCCACTCAATCTTTACCTAACAATACAGGATGATAAAAAGAAAACACAATAAAATCAAATATTAGCTCTCAAACTAAGCCTTTCTTACATTAATACTGGTACAAAGGAAGCCTGGAAAGGGAACTTTGGGCGGCGAAAAGACGCCGAATTTTAACCACAATACCACTCATTAATTTTTGCGTAAAACATGACTTAATTCAAATTGACGGCTGAGAAAATGTTAACACTGTCTAGCCATGTATTAGAGAGGGTTTATTCGAAGAACAGCCACGACAAATCAAACGACTGTACCACGTTGCCTTTCTCGACCAGATTATCAGTTTAATACCGGAAAAATAAAAAGAAACTAAAGAGAATTGGTGGAGGAATTGAGAAGAAATCGGCAGGAGTTCTGTACGTATACTAACAACTGAATAACCCTCTGGTAAGTCAGTATTTTAATTTTCTGAATTTCGCTTCACGTATTTATTATGTCAAATCTAGTCGTTAAATTCTTAATTAGCGAAATGACTTAAAAACTTGACTTTACCGATAAACGCTGAAACACCGTACATCCAGATAACGCCGAACATGTCGAAAGAACATGGTGAAACTGGGAATTTCTAATACGGATATTAGATAACTGAGTTCCCAGACGTAAGAAATTGTAATAAATAAAGGACTATTCACTTAACACACGTACCAAAATCGATCACAGAATGTTGTATGAAGTCAGGATTCACACTAAAATTTGTTCTTCTAATTTGACATGGTGCTGTCTGTTGACAGTATTCAAGTGTTCAATTCCCTTTCGAAGTAAAATAGTGATTAATTTTATGACGTGCAAGTTGAGTTTTTGGAAACGGGGAAATTTGGACATGGCGAACACTTTGCAGAGTGCTGAAAATTTTGCGTTTTGTGTCGTAAAACTCGCGTATAGCCCCGCAATAACTAAATTCTTATCACCGAGTTTAACATGATAGCTGTTCCTGAAAGAGACGATATCGTTAATCACACATCGCCATTTTTCAGGTTACAAATAGCTTACGATATGGCAACGGATTTATAGATTTTTTTTCTGACTGTGTCTTCTTGGTTGAGGATAAAATGTCTCCTTATTGAAGAAAAGTCTCCAATCGTAACCGAGTTAGGCGCTGTAATTTCACTTACAAGCACGCTGCTTTTCGTTTGTTCCTTTGCCTTGTCACCATACAATCGATTTTTGATAGTTCGTTTTCTGTTTTTTTTTTTATTATTTTATTTTTCAAAAGAAGAAGCACTTAATTTTAGAGTATTTAATTTAGTTTAACGCCCTAGTGGTTCAATTGTGTATTTTGTATCTCTTATTTTATTTGTTGAATCATCTTTATTTATCCATTTGTTTGTTTGTTTATTTGGGTTAGCACTCAAAGATCTCCGATTATTATTCTGTAATATATTTATTACAGTATCTCCGATTCTTATTCTGTCAAATGGAATATTCAACGAGTCATACGGAGAGTATGTTGAGTCAGCTAACAAGGATACCCCACCTGTCTCAAGAGTTATTGCGTTTCTCTCTCTCTCTCTACTTAAAATTTTTACTGGCTGCCGAAACGTCTTCTGCATGATTACGTAACATGTTCAAAATTCACCCCAATTAATTAAAGCTTCGCTTGCGCGAAATTTTCTCAAACCTTGAATTTCAAGTGGACATTCTTTTCACCTTTGCTGAATTGAAAATTTGTTCGTGATAAAATTTTCAATCTGTGTTTGGTTGTGAAATTGGATAATCCGATGGAAAAGTTTAACTCTATCCCGACCGATGTATCGATTTTACATGTAACAGGTATAGGTATAACGGATACCTTTCGATAGACCAGCTTCCATCCGGGAAGGCTTTTAATTCTCTTGTTGCTTCATGCTACAGACACCTGAACCAGCCGGTGTGGGACGCTTTTGCACGTGCGCGCACTATTCTTCACTTAACAATTCTTCGTTTACGGTACCTCCCAAGCAGGTCCTAGCAGCTGTCTGAATTATGAATACATGTAATGGCATGGACTGACATGGGTTAAACAGGTTTGGCTGACCTGAACAGAAATAAGATGAAATAATTTTTTTCTCAATCTTATTTTCACCATAGTTTGTTTTACAGGACCCCTCTGATGACAGTGTTGAATACTGTTAACAGTGTTGATTAATTCCCACACTACGGTTTCAGTGTGCGTAACGAAATGTCAGAACGGCCGATGGAAAGACGAATAATTCGAAAGACATAAAACTAAGTTTTACCAACGGACAACTAGGGAAATCGACAACTAGTGACCTCTTAGGTAAACAGTGATCTAATTTTAGCGGATAAGGGGTTAACTGGATGATAAAAGACTTTTCTTTCAACGTTCTTAGAACACTGTACAAACAGTAACGCAAGCAACACCTATTCATTTTAAAGGCATATCTTGGCCGATGAAAGTCCTAGGCTTGCTTTATATCAGAGGAGCTTTAGGTGTGAATTTTAGTTTCTTCAAGTGTGAAAACAACTAATTAATTTTAATGCCCCAATTGATTTTAATTAATAATTTAACAAAATAAGAAAAATACAGAACTGTGTTAAAGTCAAATAGTCAAACTTAAGGGGCGATCCGGTTTAAATAAGTCTCTCATAACAGTCTCTACTCAAGGTGAGTTAATTGTAGCCATATATAACTATAACCCGGCAGGGATGCTGAAAGATTCCACCCAAAAGGAATATTGCCCAAGACTCGAATTAGGGCACTGATTGCATTTTCACAGTTAGCCAAACGTAATTTTGAATAGCAGTAAATTCTTCATGCGACCACTGATTTGGTTCATTCATAGAGCAGGGTAAAATTCCAACTGATTTTTCGTTTTGCTTTTATAAAAACCCGGTACGGTTTAATGAAATCTACTGAATGAATAACCTCGGCCCATACTTACAAGATTTGGTGACATTTGAAAAGATTAATGGTAGTTCTATCTCTTTAACTGACCCCGATTATCTCTGCCCGCCATGGTGAACTTGTCGAGGGCAATATTGCCAGATCAATCAGTTATTGATTGGTGTTATACAGGGCCATGCAATTGCCAATCGCATTATAATGCTCGAATGACTGAGAAAATTCTCTCTATGTTGACCCTGACCAGACTTTTTTCTTGGCAACGCAGAAGATGCCAAGTTGAGGATAGGATCCCAGTGGTACTTCCTGTATTTTTATACAGTAGGGTTAATAGGTCCGTGCCACTGGACAGGATCTGTATCTTAGCATTTTGGTCTGGAACAGGAAATGACGAGAGGCACCCTTCAATATTTGACTCAAACCGGGTGTTAGGTGTTCAGATAGAAACACGGCGATCGCCGACTCATAGTCTAGGAAAGGGTGGACATTTACATAACAATAACGAACGAAAGCTCTCTCTCACGATCAAATAAAAAGGAAATTGCTTTTAATCATTTTTGATACCGACTTTGAGTCATATATTGTGTGTTCATTAAATGGTATTTAATAAAGAATATATCGCCCAAGAAATGTAGATTAGTTAGCGTTTCGTATTTCGGGTATAGGGCTAGAGTTTTTATGGTATATCTCAGACCCCATTAGCAGTTATTTTGGGAGCATAGCCTCACCTCACCCAAGATTGGCGGCAGTGTACGTGTTGCTTACGAAAACATCTGCTAGAGTAAATCGACAAGTTGAGTGTCAAGTGAGAGACGTTTTGTGGCATTCTTATAAAACTTCGTTGTAATCAGGGAGACCATCACTAATGGCAACCGCAAACAAAACGGTAGTAATCTTAACTCCTTCATATTTCTTTACTGCCTAATGCACACAAATTATACGGTTTCGTCAATTCCTAGCTGTGTGTTCAAACTCAACCTTTTCTAATTTTTATTTTTTCTTCATGCACTCTTGAAGTGTTTGTTAATACAACAATGTATGATTTAACCAAGAGAGGACCTTTTTCCGTTTTTGCATAGCCTCATCTAGACGCAATGGGTGTTGCGAGAGCTGAGACAGTTATGCAAACTCGAGACGCACTCGAGGGTTTGCATAACTTTCTTCCAACCCCTCGAGTGTTTAGATGAAGCTATGTAAACTACGGAAAAAAGCCCTCCATTGATTTTATAAAACATTTCTTGTGACAACCATGTTTACATATTCTCATAAAAACACACCAATCGACTATAACAGCGCGCTTACTATTTCAAATATTTTATAAAGTAGAATAGTTCATGTTGTTGCTATAAAAGATAACATACGTGTAGCCGACACTTATGGTGTACATGACTTTCAAAATTGACCGGCTGCCAAATATGTAGGAGCGTCTGCGTGGGAGGCTACCAAATATAATAAAATAATAAAATATGCGCACGAAATATACCTTAGACGACCTTGGACCCGCCAGAATAAACCGCGTCCCGCAAAGATTTGTTCACCTGCTTCTCGGGTGGGACAAATTGTTATCAAAAATTAGATCACTGTTTATCCAAAGATTTACATTTTCCTCTGGAATCGTCCATGTGGACAAACAAGTTAATTGAAAGTACAAGAGGGACTTTATCTGAATCTATCCCAACTCCGGACTAAAGTTTAAATATGAAAGATTCAGTCGCACAGGGGGTCCTAAATATTCATAAGATGACAAGTGCTACTATTCGCTGAAACACAAAACTGGATTAAGCCGGAATTTGTTTTTAATAATACTTTACCCCCAGTTCATCATCTATACATGTACCTTAAATCTGCCAGCAACTATTTTTCAATCAAAGGCTAAGGTTAAATTAAATTATTATTTTAGGAAATTAGCCCGTCAACACATGATCAAGTTTATATTCGCAGGATCGGGGTACACTGAAGGGTGTGACGCTGTATGTGATGCGGAAAACTCTTTACACCAACTGAAACTGTAAATCGAGGATACTTCACGTTTCGTTGCCTATGATATCTAAATTATTAAAGGGCTTCTATACTCTGGGTTTTCTAACTATATTATGATGGTAAGCCTACATTATTCATGTCTCTTTCCTAAGCATGGGTTATAAAATTGCCTGCAAGCGAAAACTAAGAAGTGGATTGTGCTCGCCTTGTTTCAAATGCCTACAGAACTCTGTTTTGAAAAGTGAATCGGTATTTTTTTTTTCTTTTCTATATAAAAAAGAGAAAATTCATTATCATGACTATCTATACAATTACCTGCTGATGAATATTCAGTGATTGCTGGTTCCATTTGCACAAGAAGCTTGCGCAGCAAGTGGTAGATAATACATAATTGTGCTGATCAGAAGGTTAATCCTCAAGATCTACCATCGTCTTTTTGCACCTCTCATCAACAGATTGTACTTAACAAAACTTCAGAACGCCTTCAACTGCTTGGAATCACACCTCTGTGGCATCAGGATACTACATGGCGCTTTTAATCAGCAGCATCGTCTTTATATGGATCACATTGAGTGGATATGGCACTGAAGGTTGGTAAACAGGACACTTAATTTATTTGCCTTGCATTATGTCTTGTTGGCACAGTGTCGGCTCATTGGCACTGAAAATCTGCCTTCACTTTCAGTAAGACAGTTCGAGCGAGCGTGGTGCTAGCTAAAACAGATCTACTTCACTCATGAACAAGCAGGTCCCTTTTTTGTATAACCACCGACAGCAGCTAATCAGCTCAGTGATCCTACAATTAATCAATCGCTTTTAACAAATACTATTATTATAGGCTGACTGTTTCGGACTGTTTTGCAGTCATTCCAAAGAACGGTAACAAAACAGTACTGTCAGTTTAATGATTGGTCCTTCTTGATCTAGGTGCCATCGCATTTACACTTGATTAGCCCTTCGTCATCTTGCGAAATGTATGAAAACTTTTCTATCAACCAGTCCATTTCGGGCAGAGGGTAAAAGGACGGGGCCTCGCAGGTTGTAGCAAGGCAATGAAGTTTTGGAATTTGCACTGACTTTTTGTTCTTATCGTCTGTAAAATTTTACCTGCTAAAAATATATGTTTTGGGTGGGAAGTCAAGCACACATTACGTACTAAGCCTGTTGGTACTGGGATCATGCAACAGATATTCAAAGAACATGATGATTCATGGATCGATTCTCAGAGTCGGTGGTATTTTTAGTGTTTAACAATTTAGCTGGCGTCGCGATTCTCCGGCGGAGCTGAGAAACGATTTATACGGCTAAAGAGTCATTTAAAGCTCATTGATATAATTAGCACGAAAGGTGTAACTGCGAACACAGATAATGGGAAATGAAGGAGCGACCACAGCGAGTATAGTTCCCTTTCGTGCCAGGTATTATTCAAACAGAGAGTAGAATTGTGTTCTAATTATCAAGTCAAACTGATTGATCAGGGTTGCGGCCGGAATTTAAAATATTCGATGGAACACAGTCCGTTTCTTGTCATATGCTTTGTAAAAGTGATTTTTGCATTGTATTATTGTATTGTAATATGATTTTACCACACTCCACACATGAAAACAATTCTAAAAGGTACTGGCACTTAATTTAAACTGGGTTGCAGGTGTTGAATCGTCCACAATGCATGAGCCCAGTTTACAAATTCATTTCGGCATTTGTTTGTTTAAAGTTTCACACCATGTATAAATTCACAACGTGATAAGCAATAACAAGTCTTAATAGTTTTAAACTATATATTAACCTATTACGTAAAAGTAAACATTCAGCAGCCCAAATAAGACCGATCGTAACCGTCAGGAATTAATCACGAAAGAATTTATTTCTGTGCTAGATACTTTCAATTATGTCTTGAATAAAAACCTAAGATGTCTTTTAAGTGTCTTTTTACGTAGTAGAATCAACGATTCAGTGCTCACAAGCAGCCTGCGGGCTGTATGCTTCGTTAATGTCCACCGCTATTAGTTTTACTGAAGTAGCCTGCAGCCTGAATACCTGAAATAGCACTCCCCTCAGTGACGAACGGTCAAAACACACGAATAACAACAGAAAACTGCTTGATAACTAAGGAAAATTAAACTCCTTAACAAGTCGTCAAGGGGGGCTAATACCAGTGGCAGCTAATAAGCTATAACATTTCCTACTGAGAGCTTTGTTACGAGAACATCGTTGGTTCTGATTATTGCGCAGCTGGATATATATAGTTTCTATTATTTCACTTACTTGCCGTCATTCTTCAGTGATTTATGAATACTAATTGTCCATAATTCCATAAATTATGGTAATATTAAGACTTTAGGAGGACTATTCTCGTATATTTCACCAACTGTAAAAAGTCCCTAACCGCCTCATGAGTAAATTTTCGAAAATCACCACTTATGAATATTTTTACTACATTTGAGCTCAGAAGAAACCGGCCGTTCTTAGGAAAGAGCAAAATTAAAACTAAAATTCAGCTGAAGTAAATCTCCTGCTTATAAGTCGAGAGTAAGTCAGCGTAAATAAAATTCCAGACAGCAGTATGTAGAACAGAAGCCGGTGATTATTCTGCAAACAATTTGACCTAGACAACTGATGACAAATTACACCACATAGCAGGCGAACAGGAAATCAGGAAAAGAGTCGGGCTGAGCAGAGAAAGCGTTTTGGTTAGACAAGGAATAGTATTTGGATCAGACAGCCGAAGAAAAACATTTTAGCTAAAGAATTTTCGAATGGTTGATCATCTCTTCCTGTTCAAACGAATAGTTTATCTGAGTGAAAATAGTCAGTTAAATACAAGACACCACCCGATAAATAAGGGCGTTTACCTATTCCGACAGCAGTGTATGATTTTTCTGTCGAATAACCATGAATGTTTTACGTAGTTCGTACGGGACAAAATTACTTCATGTTAGAATTGTACAAAAGGGGAATTTACAAATTCCTGTATAAATGTCATTTGTTTCGGAAGAATTGTTTTCTGAGTGATACCGAGTGAAGATGGCTAGTAGCAACTAATCCACTTCGCAAAAAAATCAAAAAATTCCACATGTTTACAGCCAATTCAACATGCAGATAAAGTTCAGAAATGCCAAACAAAATATCAATAAAACCGACAAACTAAATGAAAGAATAACGATAGCTGCAATCCAAAACCAAGCTATATAAAAACTAAATGTTCTTATCTTGCTTGCATAGAGTAATATTCGTCATTTAACCCTGAACAGGTTCAAAGGAATCTATAGAGCAGAGTTTAATCAATGACTTACTGAAGGGATATAATAAAGATGCTCACCCCATACCAGAACAGAATAAAAGTCAGTATATGGTTACGTTTGGTTTGGAATTGGTTCAGCTCGTCAACGTTGTAAGTATACTACTACCTTTAGTTTTTTTTTAGGGAGGTTTCTCTCACCGTTATGACTTTTTTCAATTGGGAAATCTTGATTTTGTTCTTACTACACTATCCCACTCCTTCCTTATTATGTTTTCGACCGTTTGAATTGTAATCTGTTATAGGATCTTACACATTATGTTGACAATTTTTGAGCTTAATAGTGAGGCAAAAGAATCAAGCATTAAGCGGGAATGATAATGACAAAAACTGGTTTACGCCTGAGGGCTTTGGAAGGGCCATAACAAAACTGGGCACCAGTCCCTTGATTACACAGTACACACAGCACATACCAAGAGGTTTTGCTATAAATTCAACACTCTTCGGTTGCATGAGAGCGAGGTTTTTCATTACTAGAAAACTCATATCGCAAAAACCAAGTTAGAGCAATGGAGGATTACATTGAGGCGTCGCTCGTGCTTCAGCATACCAAGCGTGAAGGGTAGAGTAGAGATCAAGTTTTTTCATGTAAGCATATTGGAGCATAATAGTGACGCCTTTTGAGTATAACACCGATTTTTTTTTTAGCATCGAGCATCAGCATAATAGGGAAAACTTTGAGCAAAATGTATAAAACCCTAAGTTGTTACTCTTGAATCAAGATAACCGACATTTCCCAACGATATCATATCTAATTTTTGTTGTTTTATTTTACTTATTTTTTCTTTTTCAATTCAGGATGACAAAAATCAGATCATTACGACAAATGTATGGGTAAGGCAGGTAAGCACAAATTTGATTCATCTTTAAGTCGAATGTTACAGCATGTAAGTCACTTTCTTGATCAACTAGTTGTACCGACATAAAACGCCCTTTAAAACGGAGGAATTTGAAAACGCCGGCTTTTCGTTATTTTTTGGACGGAAAACATTTTGAAAACGGAGCTTTCCGAAAACGATGTAACCAGGATAATCATGTAATTTCCATGACCCAGTTTTCCTCAATGACAAATGCAAAATTACCGGTGATTGTTGCGTTTTTAAATTTCTTCTCGTGCATGTAGTGTGGACGGAAAACATTGGATGCTTTTTCAGAGTGAAGCCTGAGCCGTTTTCAAATTCCTCCGGCATAGTGTTGGTGAAATTCTTGGTTGGTGTTGTTTTCAGAAATGGAGGAATCTTCTTTTAACCTGGGATCCAGAAAAGTACGGAGGAATCAAACGTGTTCGTATTAATCCAAGCCTGATCTGGATTCCTGATATTGTTCTCTATAACAGGTCAGTTCACGGTGTCACTAAGTATAGTTTTAGTCGTGTTCAATCACAAGCAAGTGATTATCGACTCATTCAAGCACTGGACACTGACCGTCACAACGGATGTTAGTGAAGATCATTGCTTGAAGCCCAACCAACCTTGTGTAGCAGGCCTAGACCGGCTAAAGAGGTTATATTACTTAGTTAACGTTCTTCAAGAGAGACAGGATCCTTCCGAGACGTCTGAGGGACTGACACATATTGCAAAGAAACCGATCATATCTGACTACGATTTGGGAATAATTAAATAAGCGCCCCCTTGCGAAAGCGCCTCCCTCGAATAAGCTCCCCGGGGCGCTTATTTCAAATTTTGAAGACGCGGGTGCTAATTCGAGGATTTACGGTATATTATCCTGACACACTAGCTAAATTCTAACCAAAAATTAAAAATCCTTTGTTGTCTCAGCACTCTTCCAAAAAACAGGGGGAGGGGAGGGGACGCTCATTCGAGGGGAGGCGCTTATTTTAAATTTTGGCCGATACGAGGGGCGCTTATTCGAAGGGGGCGCTTGTTTGACATGTTTGAGGATTTACGGTACATGTATAGCAATTGTGATTATTATCCGTTAAGCGTGCTCTACACGTGTGTCGTAAAATAAAGCTCGAAGAAGGAAAGACAAGCTATGGTACTGATGCGGGTTTTTTCTGATCACGAATCCTAGCCTGCTAACACAGAAGGATCGCCGGCTTTTGTTTCGCGGCGTAAAACAAAAGGCTGGGAGCCGGAAATCCGTCTGGATTTCGCAGTCTAGGCGTTACCAGAAAAGGCAAATTTGTAAACAATCAAAACGGGCTTAAAACATGTTTCGGTTGATGTTTATAAACCTTACCTTACTGGACATGCATGGGAGATGTATAAATTGTTTACCCTGTTCACTGTTTACCACTCTTGTTGTAAAAAAAATAGCGAACTGAATAAAATTCTTCTTGCAAGTGGACAGTAGATCATATATTTGAATTGCGGAGAAAGATGTAAAGACATGAATAATCATAACCTGCAATTAGGCGTTCTTTTTTAAGGCGGGGGTCTACATGAAGGCCGTCTTTTGGCTGGGTAGTATGATTTCAACGCAAAGATCTCGTTCACGTTTCAAGCAGTCAAGCATCTCTCTGCTCATCCCACATATCTATGTTTTGGGCTGTTTTGTAATTTTTTGGTGATTTTTGGGTATATTTTGAGATATGTAGTTTTTCTCAAAGGATTAACAAAATTTATGGAAACAGGAAATTTTGAAGATTTGGTGTTGTTTTAAAATTAGAATTTGAAGTTAAAAATTGGTAGACGTACACCAAACAGTTGTCCGCCAACCTGGGGTGCCCTTTCGGGGGCGTTCAACTGTCTGGTGGTGTTCCAAACCCTTTCTTTCCTTTTAATCCCTCTTTAAATTTCCTAAAATTTCACTTAAATTTAGGTAGATTCCCGCCTTAACAGCAGGGCCAAAAAATAAAATGACAAACGAGCGCCTGATCGCAGATTAGAATGATCATGACAGTTTAAATGTTTCTTTTCGCTTGATGTAGACATAAAAATCTGAGGGACTCCCGCCGGGACTACGGGCTTTTTTCTTTTGTTTTGAGAGATCAGAAGGAGACTGTATGATTAAGGCCAGTGGATTATAATAGTTAAGGCGCATTCGAACCTCTCTTTACGGGCAGCGCTATAATATGGGCAGCCGTGTAGTACGAACAGGTCAATTAGTCCCTGAAAAATCAGAATTCGGTCTCTAACACGGACATATAGACACCTCTGTGACCGGATACTTAACTTCGCTCTTTTGAAACCCATATAAGAGAGTTAAGCCGGACTGTACTTCAGGAGAAATAGTTCCTGCTTAATCAAATGCGGATGATATAAGCTCTGGGGGGCGTTTCAAGATTACCGCAACAAGTAAGGCTCTTTAAGCAGTATGGTACGAAAAACAACAGAAGACCTGCGGTGCTTGAATAAACATCACAAGTCACGCTCTAAGCGTATTGTAGAATATGTTGTAACGAAGATGTTATGAAACGTTTTCACTTGACGTCATGACAACCATATTGGTGTTTTCAAACAATGTAACGGGAGCCATGTTGGTTTATGAAGCCAATGCTTTGGGATCTGAAATCTTTTCTTAACTGTAAAACAATCTTTTGTTCCAATAAATCTACATGGCTGCTGACCATGTGAGTCCAAACGCTCTAGATCTTCCCTTCAGAGCTAAAGCTGGATATAAGCTAATGGGCTTATTGGGTGGAGGGGTGTCTGAAAGAGGTATATTTTAGGAATTTTATGGTATTTAACACAATTTCTCACCTTTACAGTGCTGACAGTGAGTTTAGTGGTGGACTTGAAAAGTACAAGACCAGAGTCATCATTGATTACGATGGCATCAATGCCTGGTACAGTCCAGCCTCGTTTCGAAGCACATGTCCAATCGACGTCACACATTTTCCATTCGACAAACAGACATGCACAATGAAATTTGGTTCATGGACGTTTGAAGTTGTTGACCTTGACATTCATGCTGACGTGTCGCCTCTTCACTCAACCCAGTACGTAAAGAGTGCAGAATGGGATTTACTGGCAGCTTCTAAGAAGCGCAACGTTCAGCGCTACGCATGTTGCGATTATCCATTCTCTGATGTTACTATCGAGTTCGTGTTCAAACGAAAGCCTTTGTTTTATATCTTCAACTTGATAGTACCGTGCATGATAATTATGTCCATGGTCTTGTTAGGCTTTTTTCTGCCTCCAGAGTCTGGTGAGCGCATAACACTGAGCATAACTGTGCTGCTAGCTATGGCGGTGTTTCTACAACTAGCGGCAGAGAATTTGCCACGCAATTCTGAAAATGTTCCCGTAATGGGAATATTTTACATAACAGTCATGATAGAGGTCGCCAGCTCTCTCGTAGCCACTTGTTACATCTTGCATATTCATCATCGGAATTCTGGGACAGCCTTAGTGCCAGTTCCTGGATGGGTTAAGGTGTACATGCTCAACAAGCTGGGAAAATGCTTGGGAGTGAAGAAACCTGTTACAGAGGACAAGTACGACTTATCAGCGGAGATGGATTTCAAAAAGATTTCTATGATGAAAAGAGAACTGAATAAATGTGACAATGGCAGTAACCACATTAGAACCAAGCTCCTACCCGATAAACTGCAAATCGGAACAAGATCAACCTTAAGTTCTCCCGAAGAGTTCTGCATGAGCTCTTCCACTAACTCTGTTGTGAGCACGTTTCAAAAGATGGACACGCCCCAAGGCAGAAATGATCACAGGAACGGTGACAGCAACAGTGCTAAGACTGCGCAAGGAGTCATGGTAATGGTAGACAGTATAAAACGCCGTCGGCAAATAGAGAAGAACCAAGAAGAATGGAGGCATCTTGCTATGGTCTTGGACAGACTATTTTTCTGGATTTTTGTCGTGATTATATTGCTTTCTACCATTATTGTGCTAAGAAGGGGCGTCTAAAATGCTACTATCCATTCACTTTGTAAAGAGAGATCTGCTACGACTTACGTTTCTATGCACATAAGTATCTTCATATTGAAGAAAACCGAAGACGGATTGGCGGACCAAATAAAGACTTTTCAATATGTAGTTAATTTCACCATCCATGACGCACATAGTACCTTTTGACAAGATGTAACAAAATGCGTGAATGCTGTATGCTCGATGTATCCCATAATTATGATCTGCACAAGTAAAACAATTTTTGATGAAATGTAAATACATGGTACAACTTTAAGTCCAACTACACAATTAGCATACCAAATAAAACATATGTATATTAGAGTTGTACCACTGAAGTTAGTGAAGTGTACAGTGGTGATAATGTGAAAAAGCATAGACGTGACTGAAAATTGACAGGTATCCTAGTCATGGAGACATTTTTGTCTTTTTTTTCTTGTTTAATCCCAGCGCAATTCAACCATTAAGCAAGACCTGGAGTACTGGAAATTGTGCTCGCTCTTTTCCGTTCGAAATCAATTTTTCTTGAGTCAAGAAAAATAACTAAACCTCTTGAAAAGCGTACTTGGATTGAAAGGATGAAAACAAATGGGCTTTTCAAACCTTCACAGAAAGTCAGAATTGACTTACCATTACTAATTTCCTGCAGGCAACCTGGGAAAACCTTTTTGACTATAACAACCTTTACAACTTACTTTCACAAACAATACGTGTCCACAGCTGCAAAGTCGCAAACTCCAGCGGTTGCTCGGCCTTTCCCGCCTTTTCGATTGGCGAATGCCCGGCGAACATTGGCCAGCCTCGAAATGAGGCTCTCTTTATGCCGTTCTACAGTCAGTTACCGAACATATTTAAACTGTTTGTTTCCAGTAAACATTGGTTTCAATTGTATCTCTCTCAGCAATTTAAAAATGATGATGTCCTCATGAAAATATCAGTTAATTTGGCTTTAGTTCTTTGGAAGTGAATCAGCATGAGACGATTATAAACCGTGTGCACTCTAAGAGATCCGTCGCAGTCATGAGACAAACACACTTCGATGTCCGATGATCAGCCCTGTTAGTAATGCAGGCTACATGGATAGTGCGACTATTCGGAGTTTGGGAAGGTACGTATTCCATTTTAAAAAATCTGCAAGACCTCTCTTTTGCCGTTTCGTGAGGTAAGCTGTTCACAATTTCGGCCGGCTCTATGCGTGATCTGTACAGGCAGGTTCAGCTAAGAATATTGTTTTTGAAATGCCCACTGGTTACTGATACTAGAAAAACATCCATTTTTCAGTGGCAAAAAAAGCTCAAAAAGCTGACAAATGTGTCTGGCCCACGATTCAACCTGATTATTCAACTTAAAAACAGAAAAAGAAAAATCCAAACCCTCCTGGCTTGTCCGAATTTAAGTTGACATTTTATTGACAATTAAAGAAAAAGCTTGACCTTGTGAGAGAATTAGGTCTTTTAGGTAACGCCACGGACTAAGGGGCAACGAGTTTGCATGTTCAAGTAAAGCGACTTGGAAATTTTGTTCTGCTAAACTGTACACATGGTAAGTGTCCAGTCTATTCGATTTTCGACAAACTATTCTATTGACTGTCAGTTCAACAGGACAAGTGTCAAAGACAATGATTTCAACGAACTTGAGAGAAAATTTTTGTCTGACTCCCTCGCGTATTACCGGAACTGAAAAACATGTAATGTCCACCGACATCTGATGCTGATATGAGACTGCCCGTAACTTCCTTAGAACATTCCAATGGCACATTTTGTCTTGCCTGAGCTATCCTGCTAGTTTAATTACTCGATCACCCACCACTGACTTACTAGGAAACAAACTGTTTAAATTGTTATACCACAATTTTTTTAGGTCTTACGATCAATTTTGTTTGACATTTCTGCGTTCCGTAAAATGAAGTGATTTCCCGCAAAAATGTTTTCCGTAAAGTTTACCCCACCTTAAAATAAATATATCATCTCCTTCCGTTCGTTGAAACAAAACCTAAAAATACACAATAAACGAGCTACAAAAGGAAAATAATCTTAAGTGCCTTTTCTGAAGAAATGTGCAAACCGCAAAACCTCAAACAGACATTTAACAAGACCCGCTTTCGCGCCATGTGGGAGGAACGTGCACCGAAGAGGAAGGAATACTTCGTTGCCAATGTTCTGCTTTTATGCAAGGGCTATGACTTTGTCAACTGTACACAGCCCTCTCGAATTCTTTGCTTTTTTCTTTGGTCGTGGAACGTTCGGAAAGAATCGAGTTTTTTCTTTCTCGTTCTCCAAGTTCTTGGTCAGTTCACACACACAAAAAAAAACATAGAGACTTTCTCTCTCCACCCAGGAATTGAAATTTTAATTTTAATGCAGAGAACCGCATGACGCCGAATTATGGGCTGCTTGATTTGATTGTTGCTGAATCCCCTGTTTTAGAAACGCACGTGCCCCCTATACCAGCTGCACAGAATCATGTGGTTTTCAATAGTATTCTGGATATCTTACCGACTGGCTGCGGTAGCTTACGATGAATTAAAGTTAACTCTAGCAATATCTCTAGTCGCTATGTGAGTCTTCTGGATATAACTTTAACATGATTAGCTGTAAATGATCACAGGTCCTCACAAGCTGTCCTTTTCAGACATTTTGTAACACTTACAGTTTCGTTTATATCTTGTTATCTTGACCGTGAAGGCTTTAATACATTTTTAGATTCCGTTTTTGTATGAAATGAAAACAACAGAGAGAATCCTCTAACAAGGCCGGCCTGAATTGGTTTGGTTAATCAACTCTCTCTTCCACAGCGAAAAGAAAATACGTGGGACTGTTTTATGGTACCACTTGTCTTTCATTCTTAGCACTGTTGTCGTCGTAAAAAGGTCATTTATGTACCTGATCCACGAGGTATTTTAATTTCCGTGATTAAAAAGGCTGTGGAACAGAAAATAACAGAAAAATGATATCGTTTTGATCCCGGCAAATTGCAGCCATTAAAGTCATGAATCGGAGATATTATCAGTTAAATAATTCACTGTATTACGACTATTACGTTCAATCCTATCTGCATTGAAATTTATACGCTTTCAGGACCTGTTTGCTATTTCTTAAGTCCTTAGCAGTGATATTGTTCCTTGGTTGTTGCGTTGTAAAATGTGGAATACCTTGTTTGAGTTTACAGCTCTTAAAGTGTAATAAACAGTTGTCATTACTTGCACGCTCGATCGACCAGCAACGAACCGGAAGAGGCACTTCAATGGCAAACTGTTTGCTACAGAGGCCTGAAATCGACGTACGGAATTTTTATTGCTACTTCATAAAACTCCGAAAAGAAAAACATTCAACAATTAGATGATCAACAACGTACAGGCCTTGTCTTTTCAGTTTTCACTCCGATATCAATCTGGGTGATGAAATAATTAAACCAAAACAAGTTCACCGAGCCGCACACTGTGTTACTCCCTACCTACCCCTACACTGTAGACTTCTGTCTTACAAAGCTGTGCATGGTTTTTCAGACAGCAAACCCGCATTTCAGCTTGTGTTAATTTTTGCTGAACTTCAGCAGTTAAAACAAAGACCCTGTGTTGCCAAATAGACGTAAACAAGAAAATAACGGCACAATTACCATTAACAGCTTTAAGCTTCTCTGTGTTTCTAAAGTAGAGAGGGCTCCCCAGGGAAATTTTAACATAACATACATGAAATGTCTGACTACATTTGATGACTGAGTCCGTAAGATTGGATTGTACTTCTGTTCTGTGGCAGATTATTCAGGGGCCTGTGGATTGCATTCTTGAAGAAGGGATAGCATCTTGAAATCAATATCTATGTTAAACAATGGTCGAATTCACTATTTTTCACATAACTTTAGAGAACGGTAGAACACATGATCGCTAGCAGTAACGCGGCGGCAACCACTTGTAGCGTGTCTGTTCATTAATAAAAGACTCGACTGCGACGGTACAAATAGGTAAATGGCTGTATTTGATTTGTAGTGTGATGCAAAGAAAATCAACTATCTCGTGGATGGAAGAATTTTACGGATATTTTAAGAAGGAAAGCTTAACAACGTGACAGGGTATGACGTGAACAACATACATTCCGTACATAGAACAACTTCCTGAGCTGTCCAACAGTCTTCGAGGTCATGTAAAATGAAAATCACTAGAAGCCACTGGCTGATTGGTCGAGCGTGTAATTAGGTGTGGTATTTTTAAAAGGCCCACAATGATGTTTGGAATTCAACGCTAAAAGCGACAAGAAAGGTCATTAAACCGTGACAAAACAAAGCTATAAGGTTCATTATTCTTTTGAGAGACAATGCACTAAGTGAGCAACGCACCAATCACGGAGCGTTAAGGTCTTCAAATAGGATACCAGCGCGTCATTCAGTGTTGGGAGTTGGCCCACCGGTTGACAATTTATAATTCGGTGACTCCGTGATTAGTCCGGCTTTGAGTAAGCGGCTCCTGATTGTTGCGGGCGCACTCTGGCTGAGCTACTAGCGTGAGCGGGCTACTGGGCAGTTTGATAGTGCATCTGTGGAGTGCCTCTAGTAGTATTGTCTGGCTGTGTTCTTTACGGACTGAACAGCCACACGAGCAACATGGAAGTTGAAGATCCTGTGGCATTTTTGCGAGTTTCCGACAAACTCGCCAGGTTGGAAGAGAGTAAATCGTTCGAGAGCAAGAAATGGATCTGGATTCAAGACAAGAAAGAATGCTTCAAGGCCGCAGAAGTGAAAAGCTCTAAAGGAGACATTTACGTTGTGGAAACGAACGACGGCCAGGTATAGTTGTACCGTCATATCTTTTATTCCGCATTGAAGTTTCCGTTGTATGTGTTTTATCATTATGCAGATCAAACGAACAGAAATGTCGCTAGTTTGTGACGTTACTGAATGTTATTACACTGTGCACTTTAATACTGTAATGGACGTCGTCTGCTCTGTTTCTCTCTCCGAAGCTTACGAATGCTCTTTTCCTCTAGGAACTGGAAGTCAACAAGAATGACACCGAGCAAATGAACCCGCCGAAATTCGAAAAGGCAGAGGATATGGCCAACTTGACATACTTGAATGAAGCAAGCGTTTTGCACAATCTCAAACAGCGCTACTTTGCAGGGCTCATATACGTAAGTGCTTACTGCTACTTGAATTCAAAACATTGAAATTAGTTTTTTAACCTGGGTTGAGAAGATTACATTTGAAGCGAACACTTACGTTTGGATTATCTGCTCTGATTGTCACGTAGTTATGAACATCCGAGCACTGTTCATATGAAATCCCAGAATCATGAATATTTATTTTCGTGCATTCCTTTGTCATCTGTGGAGGGGTTTTCTCTGGGATACCATTAGGACTTTTAACAGATTTGATTTCGCGTTTTCGTGTGTTACTCGTCCTCCCTGGCGTGAAAGATGGTTGTGTACAGTCGCTATGTCAACAGATGTTCAAATGGTGTGGAAATTATATCTTCAAGAATCCGGCTAACAATTTGCGCGAATATCTAGGGTCGAGCCAGTTGTTTATAACATGCAAACCAGCCAGCGTGAAACTGTTTGCAGTTTTCAAGCAATCAAAGAAATAGACATCGTTTCGAAACCGACAACAGGTGCAACTTACATGAAAATCATCCCTTGTAATTGACGTATTTCTCCGCAGTTGATTTTTTGGCTTAATAACAAACGATTCGTGTTCTAAAGGGCTTTGTTTGGAACAATAAAAATGTCATATTGGGTTGGCAGCCGAGAGAGTTAAAACAAAAAAATATGTTTCTTGCCGGTGTTTTGTTCTCTCGCGAGTTAGGTGTGTTTATGTAACGTACCTCAGTTGCCATTTGTCTGTCGTGCAGTCTTCTCTACCACCAAACTTTTCAATCGTCAACTCGAGAAATAATTGAACAGATTTGTAAATTATTCTGATTAGTTCATGAATTAAGTGCTCCTTGACTGATGCATCAAATTCATGTTTTAAGACAGCGGCGAGTGTTCGTGATCAATGGAAGAAAGAGCTTTTAAATTGTTGTAAACAGTAAGGGGGTCGTGATCGTGTATTCAAATAATATGGATCAAGCACAGGGATTTGTGATTGTAAACGGAAGACGGCATGCTTACTGGTTCTCACTCAGTTCCCTGTGGTTAACCAGTTATTAACGCAGGGACGACCCTGTGAAAGAAAAGTACTTAAAATCCGTAATCTTCCTTGACTCTGCAGTAGCGGATATCATTTTACAAATGGGATATAAGTTCAGCTGTTTAGATTTTGCCGGTTTTTCTCGCATTCTTATTAGGGGAATCGAAAACATAAATTTCCTTCGATGAACAATGAAAAGTAAAGATCATGAAACTATTCCAACAGCTAATTAAGAAATTGACCTGTTCACCCAAGGCTTTCTTCGTTGAAGCTGGGGTGTGAATATTTTTACCATATATGGTAACCCATGGTATGTGACTTCAAAGGCGTAGGCCCTAAACACAAACCTCAAAGGTTTGAGTGGTGAAAATTTTAGTAGCTGTTGAAACTATCAGCTAAATAACTCTCTTTGGCAACTTCATTTTAATACCTTTGTGGATATCATTAGATACAAATATTCTTGAGAATGTCTTGTTCTTTAATTTCTCCAAGCTCTTTGGTAAACTTTCAGCAGATATCTTGCTGTCTTGAAAGATGTCTAAAGAGTGTCAACGAAGTCATGTCAGCCATTTGATTAGATAGGAAATGCAAAACACAATGAAATCAATATCAAAAGAATAGTTGTTAACAATTTCTTCAAAGCTGAGGGAAATTGAAGGTTAAAATTTGATGGGTGACCTTGTACATTGTAAGCTGAACATGTCCTCTATTGCTGATTGTTGCCAAAATTGGAACACACCTCTTTAAGTAAGTACCTCTTAAGTTTGAGAATAAAACCCCTTATCAGTGTAACTCCAGACTTCCTTTAAAGTCAATTATTATAATATATCATATTTTAATCCAGTATAGTAATAATTTCCTTTCTTTTGTTATTGCTGTTGTTGACCATTTAATTGATTTACTAAGGATAGGATCATTTTTCTTAACAATGAACTTGCAATTGTTAACACACATATATACAGTAGTTCAGTGGGCATATGAATATTTATGAAGCCTGGGATAATAAAATTAAAAATTATTGAAATAGTATACCTAACATTCCAATCCTGTGAACACAAAGTTCTTTTGAAAAATCTCTAACTAATTAAAGATAAAGAATATAAGAAAATTTTTCAAACATCAAAAAATCTCCTAGTTTGTTTCCTGTTTGTTTTAATCCTGATTGATTATTCTTTGCTGTAGTAAAGGATTATTTAAGACCAGCCAATCATTCTATCATAGGTTTGACTAATACTGTGAAAATTGTATCAATTGTTTGCAAAATATTTTTGTGTCATCCAGTTTTTATTTTCATGGAAACATTATTTATTATTTGTTTTGTAATTGCCAAATAATTATATTTACACAAAATTTCCAAACTTGTTGTGTAAGAAATGTGATGCTTCAAGAAAGGAGAATTTATACGTTGACCGATTTTTTTGTCATTCTATTGCAGACATACTCAGGTCTTTTCTGTGTAGCCATCAATCCTTACCGAAGACTCCCCATTTACACAGAGAAGATTGTCTTTGCATATAGGGGGAAACGCCGTCCTGAGATGCCTCCTCACATCTTCTCTATTTGTGATAATGCCTATCATGATATGTTACAAGATCGTGAAAATCAGTCTATGTTGATTACGTGAGTATAACACAAGATGATCATACATTTATTTAGTTAAATTAATAATGGAATACTTGTTACTTAAACCTGTTACTGACAGAGGAAGCATACATGTAACAACTGTGATATATATTTGGATTAATAAGTTGTGATTGCAGTGGGGTTTTACAAGGACTTGTAGTTATAGTGACAATTAAAAAGATTATTTGCCCAAGATCTTTCAAGCTGTAATTTAATGGGGATTTACAAAGGAGATTTAGTGACAACTTTTCCAGCAAAAGACATTCTGAGGGTGGAAATATTGAGATTAACACAGCTCAATGACACGCTACTTTGTCGTGAACAGTTTTAGAACATGGTTTGGAAGTTACAACTGTAGGAGTTAGTTGAACATGTAAGAGTGGAAATTTCTACCTATTCTTGTAAAAAAGACACTTCTTCAGAAAAGCTTCTATTTCATAAATAATTTATCCAGTGGCAGATTTAGGGGAGGGACCCTGGGGGCCTGGGGCCCCCTATTTTGGATGAAAAAAGAAGAAATGACTGAAAGAAAAAAAGCTGGCAGGGCAAGTAAAACTCAACTGGGCCCTCCCCTTAGCTGAAAGTCTGGATATGCCACTGTTATCTTGATGTAAATGAGTATTTTTCTTCAATGTATATATTTTTTAAAGTTGTAAAAAATTTTAAGTGATGATTTTCAAGTTATAATTGACTATATGGAATTAGGGTTTTATAAATGCTGCCTATTATATGTGCATGTACTATTATCATTATTATTTGGCAGAGAAAGATCAAATTGCAGGTAAATTATCTACCTTGAGGGGTAGAGTGAGTCGGTGAATCAAGCTTCATTCAATAATGGATCTGTTAATAATCTGGTGTGTTCAAATTGTCAGCGGTGAGTCTGGTGCTGGAAAGACTGAGAACACCAAGAAAGTTATCCAGTACCTGGCCCATGTGTCTGGACAAACAAAACCTGGAGATCAAAAATCGGATGTAAGTTTCTAACATTTTATAATTCAGAAGTTACAAGATGTTATGCCTGCATGGACATTGATTAGTCAAGCTCTTAGTTCTAGTTTAATGTTTAACATTTTGTCCTTTTAAATTTTGTCCATTTAATTAACTGGTAATAAGCAAAAACAATAAGGGATTTTCATTAATGTGCTACCATGACACGCGAAACTGTTTCTCTGTTGGTGATATAAAGTACTAAATTATAAGACAGACATGAAAAAGTCATGTAATTGTGTTGCTACTGTGTGAAGTACATGTACCTACAGACAAGTGATTTTACATGATTTTTGGGATCATTATTCGGAGATGACATAGCATACTTTTTGTGTCTAACTTTAGAAAGGTACTCTTGAAGACCAGGTTGTTGAAGCAAATCCAATTCTTGAGGCTTATGGTAATGCCAAGACCATCAGAAACAACAACTCCTCTAGATTTGTGAGTGCTAAATGCTTAATGTACTGTTGATACACATGTAACTACATGTCTGTGTCATTTGACAAATTATACGTGTAAAAATATTATAATTCCTCTTAAAAAAAGGAGGGTTGCCAGGTCTCTTTAGAGCTCTCAACTCTCACAAGAATGAGATTCGTGCTAATAAAATGTCACCAAGTCATAAATTTGAGGCACATGTTTGGTTATGGAATGTACTGCCAGGGCTAAACAAACCCACCAACCAGTGAGATCCACTGGATAGGAAAGCCCCGTGTTCAATACTAAGGGGTGTACCTCATGCTTATACTGAGTGGGCAAAGCTGCTGGTAAAATGTTTTGGAACAGGTGAACACAGTTCAGAGGGATAATATTTCCCCTTGATTTGTGAAAGTCTACGGTAGGTTGCAATCTTAATCAAGAGAACAGTAACATTACTGTAACCGGTAAAAAACCTTAACTTAGGGGAGGGAGGGATTAGTGTCACTACAGGAAAGAGAACTTTTAGCTTTCTCAAATAGGCTTAAGTCAGTCATTGCTTTCCACTGCTCACTTCTATTTCATTGGAGGGGAGGAATTAATGTTACTACAGGAGGGGAGGGGGGATCAATGTTGCTTCAGGAGAGAAAACTTGCAGCTTTCTCAAATAGGCTCAAGTCTGTCATTGCTTTCGAATGTTCACTTCTACGTTAATCTTATTTTTCTGATATTAGTGATAATTTCAACCTGAATTCCATGCATGATGCTCCCTCTAAATAGCATTCTGAAACTCATTAATTGTGTATACATGTACTTAAAAAACATGATTCCTTTCTCCACGTATAGGGAAAATTCATTCGTTGCCACTTTGGACCCCAAGGAAAACTTGCAGGAGCTGATATTGAGTCTTGTAAGATATTCTGTTCCTTTTGTGGCATGGTTAACATATGGTTAACATCTCATTTTAATTGATTTAGCCTGATCATTAGTTGGAAGATTCACTGGCTATAATTATGCCAGATAGAAAAAAATGAATAAAGCAACTCTAAAAAGTGCCATTTATTACCTAGGGTCATTAGATCTTTGTTAATTTACATGTGATGGTCTAACAATCCACCTGGTAGGTGTAGCAATACTTACTGAGTATTGACCTTAAAGTCGGCCCATGCTACAGAAACAAAGTTAACAACAACACTCGTGAGCCAGATGGCTCTTTCAAACTTCAAATTTTACAATAACCTGTAGGTCTACACCAGCTGGGGTGTCTCACATCCAACCAATGTAGCATGCTTGGATTAAACTTCAGATACCTGAAGCCCCAGTGATCAAATTTAATTTGATTAGAGCTTATAGAGCTGACTATCTAAATATATATTTGTACCAACCATTTTGAAATCAAATGATTTGTCAATTTTTTTTTACGGCAGCTTTATGTGGGCATCTCATACTATAAATTTGTGGCAGGGTTTTCCCATGTCCAATTTCAGTGAAAAATGACAGAACATTTTTGACATACATGTAATCTAAAATAGTAGAGTGATTGTGTCGAAATGCTTAGAGTGAAAAAGTTTTCAGAAAGTAAAAAAAATCACTGACATGGTTTTGATGTTCAAATATTAAACGTTTATCCAAATTTTAGGTCAAGTGAACAAAATTATTAAGTGTCCCTTTCAAGTGGAGAATACAGTTCATGAAAACAACACTTAGAAAAATCCCTTGTTATGGATGTAAACTCTGTCTACTGATAATAACTGGATAAATTGGCCAGTATGTGCTTGGGCAGTTTTCTTTCACTCAACTTGTAGTGAAAATTTCACACAGTTCCATCTCCAAAGTCCCCATGCTTTGATTTGCACTACATAAGGAAAACATTTGTTATGCTGTTTTTGAAAGATCATGAACCCAAAACAAAAATGTCTTACACCTTTATACAATGTAACCAGAACAAGCCTGAGAGTATAAACATTTCTCAGTTTCTCTTTTGAAAACTGTCCAGAAGATGGTTGCTCTCTAGGTATATACCTCCTAATAGCCTATTTACATTAATGTCTTTAAACAGACTTGCTTGAGAAGTCTCGTGTAGTACACCAACTGGAAGGCGAAAGAAACTATCACATCTTCTATCAGTTGCTGTATGGTGCTTCAAAGGAAATGCATGGTTTGTTGCTTGATTTAATTGTTAAACAATTTTTTTTGTGCCTGCTCAATTAAGACTATGGTAGAATTTGTACACTGCAGACTATAAACTGATGATTTTTTTAACTTATACATGTATTGTATTCCCAGTTCCATTATTAAGAGCAAACTGCAAACAGGCTAACCTGAGCAATATTCAGGCTAACCAGTGCACTAATTACGGGTAAAGTAGTCAGCAGTCTGCAAATGTCTTACCACTAGTAGTTAACAAATTTCAAAAGAAGAGATTCTCTAAAAACAACAATGCTCCAAAAGTTAAGGAGCCATAAATTTAACTTCATTGTTATTATGAAACAAATGCAAATAACAGCTGCAGGAAAGTGTTCTGCTGTTTATATTTAATGATTGTTACTCCAGTGGCATTAAGTATGTGATAAATTTCTCTGTTCTCCTTTAATATGAAATCTTTTCATCAAGATTTCATCCTTGCATTTCTTTGTATGTTCAAAAACATAGTTAACTGCAGTAATATTTATTCATTTATTCGACATGGATTAGTTAACATGTACAGTTATGGTACATGGTTTAGCTATTGGAAAGTAATGAACTCACCTCCTTTGTAAGTCAAGACCCGCAAAAAGTAACAAGTAGTAATATAAGAACTTAACGATGCATATCTTGGTGCTATTCAGTTTGGGCCTGAACAGTCCAGGAAATATACAAAATAATTATAAACATTGTTTTCTATCCAGAGAAACTTCTCATCGAGTCAAAGAAATCAGTGGATTATGAGTTCCTCAAGAAAGGTTCTGAAAGAGCTGATGGAATCAATGATGTTGAAGAGTTTGGTATTACTGAGGTTAGTAAGAAGTTGAGCCTGGTACTTGAACTCATAGCATGATAAGACAAACTTTACGATTGGTTAAACTCTGCTCTGCATACATGTATAAAAAGAGAAACATTTAAAGTGAGATAGTCTAATAGGGATGCTTGTTCTTTGTGACTGAAGGGTGATACATTCCATTGTTAGAATTAACGGAAGACAAAATTTCATTCACTGCATGCTCTGCAGAGAGAACTAGAGACTAATGGTGTGCAAATAGCCAGTTTACACTTGACATCATCATCTAACCTCCCTTGCCGTTAGAAAATGTTCAATATGGGTACACTATACAGCCATTTGTGTTTCTTTTACATCAGCAAGCTGCCAAGACACTGGGTTTTGCAGAAAATGAGAAGATGGGCATGTACAAAGTATGTGCTGCATGTCTGCACTGGGGTAATGCCAAGTTCAAACAAAGGCCCAGAGAAGAGCAAGCAGAGGTGGCTGATCCAAAAGGTCTGTGTCAAATGTTTGCGAAAAGTATCCATTAAATTAGAGAAAGCTTAAAAATGGTACACCATCATAGCTAGATCAAAGCCTATTGTGGGTTGCAGTGCACTAAATTAGATTATATAAAGTTGAGTGTTAGGTGTTGTGGAAATTAAAGTTAAAGTCAGCTTGTTTGAATACCATTAAACATTCCTGACTGCAGTGCAAAATGACCGTCCCCTCAAAGTGGACCCCTTCTTCTCTGTAGTCTTCTCACTGTATTTTTGTTTTCCTTCTGTACATCTAGATTTGGACAAAGTGTCATTCCTGATGGCAATTTCACAAACAGACTTTGGAAAGTCCCTTGTGAAACCAAGAATCAAAGTTGGCCGTGAGTTTGTGAACCAGGGGCGAAACCTTCAACAGGTAACATGCCTATTACTGAAATGTTTCAGCTTGAGAGCAAAACCACTTTATATGCAGATTCAAATACTACCCATATCAATGAAACAGGTGTCTTTTAGCGAGTGTATACCATTTTTTAAATTTAAAAATAACTTACAGCGATATTCTTGTACAATTTAGGTTCAATACTCCATCGGCGCCCTCAGCAAGGCCATCTATGAGAGGATGTTTCTGTGGCTTGTTGAAAGAATAAACAAAACACTAGAAACCAAGGTAGGAATTTATATCCTTAAATGCAGGGCATCATCATCATCATCATCATTGTCATCATCATCAACAAAATACCATGTTGTAGAGCACCAATTGTGCACGGTCATAGTAATATTGATTAATTAGTATTGCAACAGGCTGTTGAAGACCTACACACATGCATACATTTCAAGGCTGTGGGACTCATTTTCTCAATCAGATTTTCTTAACATGTAATGTTTCAGCTCAAGTTAGTCAAACTCCAGATTTTATATGTAGTCTCTGATAATACTTTCAGGACAGACGTGCCTTCTTCATTGGTGTGCTTGACATTGCTGGCTTTGAGATCTTTAAGGTGAGCTAAATGTAAAATATAGGTTTTAATCACAAGACCAACCAGAGATTTTGACATTTTTACTATATTTCACATACTTTATCCTGCTGCACCTGAAATTTCTTCTAATCAACGGATTCTAATGGTTTCGCGTATTTATTTGGTTCTTCCTGCAGTTCAACACATTTGAGCAGCTGTGCATTAATTTGACAAATGAGAAACTTCAGCAGTTCTTTAATCACCACATGTTTATCCTTGAGCAAGAAGAATACAAACGTGAAGGCATTGAGTGGGACTTCATTAACTTTGGTCTGGACTTGCTTCCAACCATTGAACTTATTGAGAAGGTAAAGTCAGTCGTTCATTATATACCTGTATTACATTCAGGACAGTAATTATGACACCCTTTTTATGTTGCAATTTCAGCCCATGGGAGTGTTTGCCATTCTAGAGGAAGAATGCATTGTGCCTAAGGCCACAGACATGACCTTCTTACAGAAAATGCACAACAACCATGACGGGAAACATCCAAAGTATTCCAAGCCCAAAATCTCTGGCAAAAGTGCTTCCAACCATCACTTTGAGATTGCTCACTATGCTGGCACAGTAGGCTACAATGTAGAGGGTTGGTTGGATAAGAACAAGGATCCCATCAATGAAGCTGTTGCAGGACTGTTTGCAAAGTCCACAGACCCATTTATTGCCCATCTCTTCAAGGATTATGCCAGTGAATGTGAGAGCTTAATCAGTCTAGGCCTTGTTTTGTTTTAATGTAAGGCTGTTTCTACATGTAAAAAGAATTGTCATAGTTGTACTTTGACACTCTTTGAGGAAATGGAGTTACAAACAGTTGTATTTGTTGGTGTGTACTGATTTTCAGTATTTTCTTACAGCTCATGCAAGAGGCAAGGGAGGCAGTTTTATGACTGTCAGTAACAAACACAAGGTATGCAATAAATTCTTGTTAACAGAATTGGAGTTCTTCTATAGACCCTTTTCATAAATGGCTGCCAATTATAAATTCTTTTGTAAGTATTAAAATTAGCCTGACTAACCTCGTTTTTGAGTAGATAATTCAAAAGAATTTTTCTCCCAAACGAGTTTAGTGAGGCTAATTTGAATGCATACAAAAGAATTTAAATTGGCAGCCATTTATGAAAAGGTTCTATTCTCCAGCTAACCCTTTTACATGGGTAGCTAATCTTAATTTGTTCTTTTCTAAAGTAAACTACTCTAGAACTTTAATGTAATTTATGATAAAAGTTGCAAGGAATTGAATTGTTCCCATTTACATACATGTGACTCTCCATTTAGGAACAACTGGGTCGTCTGATGGATACTCTGTACAGCACATGCCCTCATTTTGTGCGCTGCATTGTCCCTAATGAGCACAAGAAGGCTGGAGTGATTGAGTCTCAACTAGTGTTACATCAGCTGAGATGTAATGGTGTGCTTGAAGGTATTCGTATCTGCCGAAAGGGATTCCCCAACAGAGTACCATTCAATGAATTCCGACAGAGGTGAGTAACAAAGCACATAATACCATATAAATGTACATGTATATAAACAAACAAAATAAATTTCTACCGACTCAAAGGATAAGATTGGGTATGTACATGCAAGGGAGCAATCATGGCTTAAAGGTTATCGTCTTAGACATAGAATTGAGAGTTTGACAGTCTAGTGATGGCCAGGCCAGTGTAGTTATGGATAGCTCGTGGGAGGTCACTTTCTTTGGTTTTGATTTTTGTTGTTTTTGTAGTAGTCAAATGTCTAAATATTTCCTTTTTTAGGTATCAGATCCTGGCACCAACAGCAGTGGCTGGGGGATTCATGGATGGCAAGAAGGCTTGTGAGAAGCTTCTGGATGCCATGCAACTAGAGAAAGCATCGTACAGGGTTGGAACAAGCAAGGTAATGCACACTGATCTCTAGCATTACAAAAAAAACAAACACTATACTTTTGCAAAAATACTGTTAGATTTCATATTGTAAACCATACTTTTATCTGCAATCAATAGAAAATAGTTTGTACAACCCTGAAAGCCACCTAATATTAACAACAAAGTGACTCAAATGGTGAATAGATTCAACCCTACTCTAATTGTTGCTATCTACTGAAGCACTGCAGTTGTTCTGTGATGTGTCGTTCACAATTTGGATTTACAAGTGTCCTGATAAGTGATATATTAATAGGTCCTTGAATTTTAGTGCTGAAAAAAAGTGAATACTTAATTGCCTGATAGAAGTGCAGTACTCAGTTTCATTGTGAGTTCGAGTGAACATCGTGTATTATATGACACATTTAGGTATTCTTCCGGGCTGGTATCTTGGGAGAACTGGAAGACATGAGAGATGAGAGGCTGGCCAAAATCATCTCGATGTTCCAAGCCTACTGCAAAGGCTATCTCATGCGTAAAGAGTATCGCAAGATGTGTGACCAGAGGTATGGCCATTAAGCTTACATGAATTATTTTATGATACGGTTAAATATTGAAAAATGTCCTGTAGTTACGACTTACTTCATACCGTTACCATCTCTAGATAGCATAGCCTGAAAGGTATCCGTTTTGAAGAGTTAATACATGTACTTTACCAATTTCCTTATAGAATTGGAATTGCTGTCATCCAGCGCAACGTCAGGAAGTATCTGTTCCTGAGAAACTGGTCTTGGTGGAGACTTTACACAAAGGTAAAGCAGTTTGTAAACTCGAAATAAGAGCTAGCCTATATAGAAAGATACAAATGAAGTATTAATAAACAGAAAACAAACAAATGTGTTTGCGAGTGAGGAAGACTTTGAAAGAGTGACGCGGATTTACGAAAAAATGGCCAATTTATACTAGAAAGAAACGCGGTTTATACACTTTGCTTTACTATATAACTTGTGCTGTTTGTTTTCCAAGGTCAAACCTCTTCTGAACATTGCCCGTGCTGACGAAGAAATGAGGGAGAAAGCAGAAGAGGTAATTCATGCTTTTCAAAACTTACCTATCCATGAAACTTAAGAGCAAACTCGAGAACATTTTTCTTGATCTGCCAAACGTCGGGCGAGAATGCGATACAAAGTCGAGGTGATCTCCTACAGCGCGGCTGCCAAGCGCGGGAAAAGTTCGCGCCTTGCTTCTGATTGGCTCAGACTCCAGAGGGAGTACCAAGCGCGGGAAAGTTGAGAACGTGAAGAGCAACATGGTTTTGCTAGGGTTTCAGAGGGTTTTTATATAGTATACAATAATACACATGAAAAAATTACTCGATTCTGATTGGCTAAGAGCAGTGCAGTTCAAGTGTAACACCAGTGAAAAAAGTGTAAGATCAGTGCAAAAAGTGTGACACCAGTGCAAATTACACATCGAAATTCTGGAGTATGATTGGCTGAAAGACAATGGGAACTTTTCTAACAAAACGACATCACGTAAAATGATGACGAAAATTTTGTGCTGAAACTTTGAAAAAAGTTTTCTCAAATGACAAAAATGGCTTCAAGAAAGATGTTCCGGCACTTCCTCCGCGCGAATTTTTTCATGTTTATATTATCAATAAGTAATCATACGGTTTTTCTCGTTCAATTTGGAGTTAATTTGCACTTGTGAGTTTTTCAAAAAGCTGAAATTACACTCGCCGAAGCGGCTCGTGCAATTTCTGCTTTTTGAAAAACTCACTCGGGCAAATTAATTCCAAATTGAACTCAAAACCGTATGATTACCTATTCTAATAATTTCTACTGTAGTAACTCAGTAATAAAAGGGTCGGTTTGAAGCCAAAGCATTCAAATTCGTATTGCTGACGATGGTTGACGCCCGTGCTTCAACAAACTGAAACCTGAACTCAACTAAAACACTCCCATAGTGCCCTGTTGTGATAAAACAGCAAATTGATCTCCTTGCTCTTATCTTTTTTATTAATCAGCTCAAGAAGCTGCAAGAACGATTTGCAAAGGAAGAAGAGCTGAGGAAAGAACTGGAGGAGAAACTGACTAAACTGATGGAGGAGAAGAACGAACTCTTCCAAAATCTGCAAAGTGTACGTAGATAAAACTGTCGTTGACATCCTTACAGAATGCATTGACTAGGATGGGAGGGGATGGGGGTCACATGGTAATTTTTCTCAAGCGAATAACACGTTTTGGTCGTGTTTCATCGTTAACAAGACAGAGGTGTTATTAGTACCTGATTCTATAAGCTGCGAAATTGCCAAAGTATTGACCATGAATCTATGCTACCGACGTTGTAGCAACGTCTCACGTCTTCATTCCCACATTGTCACGCAATCACATCATAATATTAAGAAGAATAGTGAAAGGACATCCCAAGAATGAGGGAAATCAACAACGAGGGAATGTGGATCGAAATTCTCAGAACTTACATTTAAGATGTGTAGCAAACAGTATAGAGAATTTCTATTTTGAACACAGGAGCAAGATGCTTGTGCAGATGCAGAGGACAGGGCGGCTCAACTGACCAAAGAAAAAGAAAAGCTTGAGGACCAAGTCAAGGTGGGACGAAAACTAAATGCAATATATTTTAGTTGTTTTTACTGTCAGTTGAAATTTAGTTGCTTTTGGGTTGAAAACATTCCTCAGCGTGAAAAAGAGGAGTCGAAAAAGAAGCAATTTATTTAGAAGAGTAACTTCGAACTAATAATCTGAAGAATTTTGGAATGTGTCAAAAGTAGACGCGACCTTTGCCATTTACTGTTTGCGAGTGTTGGTAAAACGCTTTCCGTTAATTGTTTTGATTGCACACTGTTTATTTTTCATTGACTCTGCTTTTAGGAAAAAAGAAAAACAGTCATGTTGTCATACAGCACTCATCACTTTGATGCCTAAGCCAACTTACAGAAGTAAGATCATTGACTCGCTAGACCTTTCTCTTGACAGGACCTTTCTGAACAACTGGACGATGAAGAAGAATCCGGTGCTGAGATGGCGGAGGCAAAAAAGAAAATGGAAGCCGAAATCAACGATCTCAAACAAGACGTAGAAGACTTAGAAACTGCTCTTAAAAAGGTAGGTTAGAGGTATAAATTACAAGAAAACAAAGCAATACGCTAGGATAACAGCGCCTAGCGCCTGTGTTTAAGTCTTATTTTTATCAGGAAAGGAATTTGTCATGTATCCATTTGTTACTTTGGTAAATGTTTTGATAGCAGATACCTCACAGGCTTGTCAATGTTTTGTTTGCAAAAAATATAACTCTTTGATTCGTCATCGCTTCATAGGCCGAACAGGACATTGCGAGCAGAGAGAAAAACGCCGAACAGCTCCAAGACGAACTCGCCGCTCAAGATGAATCGATTACTAAATTATCAAAAGAGAAGAAGGCACTCGAGGAAGCGAAGCAGGTAAGACACTCCGTCATCACTAGCGTCTTATTTACGAAGTAAAAAATTAGCGAAAATTCGAAAAAATCCGAAAATCATATGATAGTTTAAAAAAAAAAATAGAAAGGAAGAAAAATAACAAAAAGGTTAAAAAGGAGTAAGGATGACTACGATTGGTCAAGTGTGAGCCCGATTACGAAACTCGAACTTAAAAAATACGAAGGCTATGCGAATAGTCATGGACTATCTTACTTACGCACCCGGTGACACAATGGTGACTAAAGCCAGTAACCACAAAAATGACAAATTCGGATTGAACTGCTTTGCTTTTACAGGAACTCGAGGATCAACTGCAGGAAGAGGAAGACAAAGTCAGCCACCTCAATAAAGTCAAATCTAAACTTGAACAACAAATAGACGAGGTAGGTGTTCCCTTAATTGACAGCAACATTTCCAATTTATTCTTATTTATTATTTAGTAGAGGTGTTTTCTTGTTTATTGGACGTTAGCTCCTAAGCTTTTGTTGTTATTGTTTGTATTGCAGACAGTCGAACAATGGGAAAGAGAGAAAAAAGCTCGTGCAGATGTCGAGAAAGTTAAAAGGAAACTGGAAGGTGACTTAAAGGTGAGTGTTAGCCGCGCGTGATCAAAAATCAAGAAAAAATATCAAGACTTCATTTATCTACGGTAAAGATTAAAGCCATAAGCTTATAGGGCCGTGCACTAAAATAAAAGAAAAAATAATAAATACTGTAACCTACTATTATTACAACCCAAAAACATGTTCTCAAAAATCATTCAATTAAACCTTTTATTACCCGTGGACCCACGATAATGCACCGCGCACCCTTCACTTTACCCTCGCGGTTGCCAGCTCGCACAGCTGCTAAAAGTAGTAGTCGGTCCCCATAAATATTCTTGGCTGCCTAGTAGCTTCCATGGAAATATTACAAGGGAACTTTAATACTAGTGTCTTCTGAGAAAGTTGACATTGTTGTGTTGCTTCGTGGTCACCAGATGACACAAGACAGCCTGGAGGATGTCAAGGGTGAGAAAGCGCGCCTTGAAGAGGACTTGCGAAGGTAACTGCCTGAGTCACGTCATAATTAAACAAAGTACAAAATAAAAACAAATAGTTCTTGCATTTTTCTTTTCCCTTTTTGTATTTATTTATATCTGTTCCGAAACAATTTTCAGACGCAGAGCCGGAAAATCGAAAAAGACGAACTGGAAACATTTCGGCTGTCGTTGCGACATACCCATGACACATAACGTGAACTTCCGCTGATAAGCACCCTTCCCCCCGCTCATAAGCCCCCTAGGTTATAGGCCCATCTAGCTGTAAACCAAAAAATATTTCCAGTTATACTATACATTATTATTAGTGTAAAATCTATGTGTGGAGTATGTAAAGGCTGTGGGAACGTTCCCTTTGTTTTGTCTACAATGACGGTCTTTTACCTGCAGGAAAGAACAAGAACTCAACGAAAGTAATGGCAATAACGAAAACCTCCTGGCGCAAATCGAGTCATTAAAGAAGAAAATAAGAGAGTTGGAGGTATGGAAAAGTACAAAAACAAAACCAAAAAAAGGAACCGTTAAATAGTTTTCTCTAAGGTTTTACTTTGGTTCGGTTTCGGTCAACGTGCTTGATCACTGATGAACTTGCTTCATCACTGATGAACGGGTTTTCATTTTTAGCACTCTTGATGAAATGTTTGTGAGAATGCTTCAAATAAAGCATTTAGTTGATTATCAACTTCAAGTTTGTAGAAGTAAATACTGGTAACGAAAGCCACACAGTAACCTGGGAACGAACTTCACCTGTTGTCTACAGCTGAGAAACCCGGATTTTCTCGCCACGCGGGCTAATAGATTCCTCTCGTAAACTGACTGAAGATCAACCCACTAGAAACATTTCAATCGTGTGTGACTTCTATTTTACTCGTACTCCAGTCTGCCGCTATCCATCATATTGCGACCGCAGTCTAGTCTTTTGTAAAATATGTTTGCCTTGCAAGGGTTTTCCTTTGTTTCGTAAGTTGAATTTTAATGAACCATTGACTAAAGATTAAACTTTTTAATAGCTGTGTACAGGTTATTACTGCATTCCTGCATAACATTGTCACGAGGCGGGCTGAACGGCTCCAGGTCAGCTTATGTTGCTGGATTTCGGATCAATAATGTAGTATTTCAAACGTGTGCGAGTATATCTGCGAAATCAGAGCTTTTGAAAGCATGTGGGCAGCGGAGGCACACAACTACAGTTTCTATGTGCATCCATCAGACAAGATATCCGCTGTAAGTGAAGGCTTCTTGTCGCGTGAAGAAAATGCCGACGCTGTTTGCTCGTGGACGGTGCGAATTTTGACATTCCAGGCAATTTACTACGTGCCGCAAATTGTGCTCTCTCAAACCTGATTGTTATTTTAATCCATCGCAAAATATTGGCGAGGATATTTGTTCGTTAGATAGTGCAGACAGATCTTGTTGCCAGTCGGGTTTCACCAGCTGGTATGAACAAGATCTAGCTGCCGTTCCTAGTTTGTTTCGATTTCAAGTTGGGCCGGCATTCGTTTAACCACTGTACACTGCGAAGTAACAGCGCGCGTGATGCAGAGCACAGGAGTTTTCGCTCCAATGAGTTTGTACTTTCTTTGTTCTTCAGGCCCGCATCGAAGAGTTGGAAGAAGAATTGGAACAAGAGAAAAATGCGCGATCCAAGGTATGGTGAACACTTGCACTTACTGATTACATAAGCTCTACTAGGAAGGGGAGTTATATAACCATACAGTCAACTTCTTGTACTGACCTTTAAGTCGATGGACTTGAAATCGAGAACTTAATTAGCACATCGGTGAACTGTTTGCGTCTTTCTTTTGATAACAGTACAATGTACATCTAATCTGCATCTCGTGGAATTCTTTCACTATATTTTTCTGCATTACTGAGCAGTCTTCATCGCACTGTTTCGGCCGAGTCGACAAAGCTAATGAAACACGGGAACAAGCTTGTGATTTGTTCTCGGAAAGAAGTCACGTAGAGAGGCTTACAGTTTTAATTTGTTTTGAGATCAGCGTCACGACGAGCGAACAATGGCAAATAAGTTGCTAAACCTTCCGTTATCTCACTGTCGAAACTTGTTTAAAAAAGCTATCGTAACTTTTTTATTCTAAGTTAAAGAAATATGCAGGTTTATACACAGTAAGGTATATTGGACATTATTCATTCCTCCACGGCTGGAGGTTGAATTGAATTTCCGTCTTGTCATCCAACAGGCGGAACGCGCGCGAATGGAACTCGAGAGGGAACTGGACGATTTAAACGAAAGACTTGAGGAACAAGGTGGTGCCACCCAGGCACAGGTATGTGTTGGAAAGTAAATATTGTATTAAAGAAAAAACGAAATTGAAGCGACCGGAAACGGAAAAACACAAGTACAGGTAGTCGGAAATGAAAGTTTGTTCTTCAACGCTTTGCAAAAAAAAAATGTGTGTTTGTTTGTTTTTGAATTCTTTTTTTGGTTTAAACTGTGCCACTCATGGAAGTGTATGAAAAGATAAATAAGTATTTTTGCTTTTTTTTTTTCTGCCGTAGATCGAGCTTAACAAAAAGCGCGAGAGTGACATCACCAGACTCAGACGAGAACTCGAGGAACAGGCCTCGCAACATGAACAGTCCGTCAACAGCATGCGGACCAAACAAAACCAGGCCTTGCAAGAACTGCAGGACGAATTAGATTCCTTGAAGAAATCCAAATCCAAGTATGTACCTGAAACAACTTGATAGTTTGACTATTATGAAAATGAGAAGGGAATATTGAGATATTTAACAAATTACGAGAATTTTTTTTTTTAAATGGACAATCCGTGTCAAACGCTCGTTTGACTCGTCACGCTTGTCACGCATCGCGTGACAAGCCCAAAGAAAGTCACCGAAGAAAGTCGAGCCAAAAATTACCAGACAGTAATAAACGTAAAATAAAGCGACAG